TTTCTCTGCTGATCTCAAACTCCGCCGGCCCCTCTCCTTCCTACAGGTCTGCGAACCCTGCCAGGTTCCTCTGGAGTCTACTCCTGGCACTGCTTTCCTCTTTTTTTTTTTTTTTTTTTTTTTTTTTTGTATTTATATACGCCTCTGATTACTTTTTATCGTGGAATTTTTTTGGTCATCTAGTTCTCCCACTAGACTGTATGCCCCATGAGATCAAAGGTCATGCTGATTGTGTGACAGTGCCTGGCATATAATACTCTCAAATATTGTTTGAATGAATGAGAGAAGCATGCTCCTACCCTAGGGCTCTTGCATGAGCTGTTTTCTCTTCCTAGAAAACTTCCCACCTCCATCCCTCCATCACCCCCATCCCTCTGTCACCCCCATCCCTCTGTCACCTCTCCCCTGTCCAGTTCCTTTCCTCTGGAACCTGCCCTGAACCAGAACGGAGGCTAGCGCTCTGCCTTACCTCCCGCTCCTCCCCCTTAGAGACTTCCGGCAGCTGTGCCCACTGACTGCTGGCTGTGTGCTTTGTCTGTATCCTCCCTGGCTTCTCCTCAAGGTGGTTCCGTTCTTCCTTTTTTCTTCTAAAACATTAGTAGTCCCCAGGGTCATCTTGGTCCCTAGGTAACTGGATCTGTTCTCTCGGGTTTAGTACTACTTTGCTGATTACTCCTGAGCTCTTATCTCCTCCAGATCTCGGTCTTGACCTTCAGACGAACTGTCCACTGTCCGTATCTCTGCCGATCGTTCCACAGACACCTTAAATTGAGATTTTAAACTAATAGTTATACTCTTCCTGCTTTTTCACTCACTCACTCACCCAGTTCAGAAACCTGTCATCCTTGACTCCTCCCCTTTTCACTTTAGCTTTTTAATTGGTCTCCTGCCCTCCAATCCATCTCCCACACAGCAGCCGTCAGAAGGAGTTTGACTGTCATTTGATTGCCTAAACGCCCTGTGTTCCCCTGAAGCTTATGATGGTAGCACCTGTTGCCATGGTGCTTGCAGCTTCTCTCTTCACTCCTTCCACTCCACACATTGCACTTCCCGGCCACATCAAAGCCAGCTTCGTGTGCAGCTTCATCACAGCGTCAGAGGCCTTGCCGAGAGGCTGTTTCTGTCCCCCACACATACCCCCCTTTTCATGGCCATCCTTCTAGCTCAAGCTCAAGCGCTTTCTCGGAGATCCGGTCTGTCTCATAGCAGGCAGGGTCCTCGCCTCCTCCGTGGTCACTTCTCGTGTACACCATTCATGCAGTGTGGTCAGCCTTCCCCCAGAGCCCTAGGGAAGTGGAGGGACCTCATTAATCTCCACAGCACTGAGTCTACCTGGTCGGTGTTTGTCGAATGAATGAATGAACGAATGAATGAACCTCTTACTAACTAGCACAGGGTGTGACATTGACCTGGCTGCCTGTCCTCGTATCCATAGTGCTGTTAAGGAGGGAGGTTTCTTTATTGAAGAGCTCTTGCTGTATTTGTTGTTTTGCACCGGGCCTCCTTCCAGCGACAGGTTCGCCTGTGCTTTCAGTTCTGTCCTCCGGCCTTTTCCCCGTTCTTTGTCGTCAGCCCTGGAGGACGTGAACCCTCTTAGACTGGGATCTGGAGTTTGGCCGGAAGCCCTTCAGAGTTGGTGATCTGAGCGGTGTCTTTGCCAGCTGGAGCACAGAACAAAGAAACCAAACAGACTTTTGGTGGACTCTGAAATGCAGCTTTTTGCTTCCTCAGAAATTGCGATTCTGGTCAGCGATGCTGACTTAGAAGTGAGAGGAGAACTCAGAATCCAGCAGCCATGCGGGGCAGCCCCTGCTGGAGTGCGGCATTGAATCTGAACTTGCAGCCTGTTTGGAACTGGAATGCTATTGGAAACTGGAATTACAGCCTGATGGCATTGGGGCCAGGAAGGACTTTTTACTTGAGCAAATCTCATCCCACCCCCTAACTTTAGGAGGACAGCTAAGGTCACCTGTCCGGGTGACAGCAGATTTGGGCTCTGATTTCGCTGTTTCTGCTCTAGTCCGTTTTCTGTTCAACAGCATTTTTCTAATTACTAAGGAGTGACAGACGGTGCTGAGATCATCCCATAGGAGCAGCACCGTGTCCATGGCTTCCCACAACCCTGAATGCTTTGAGAATGAGAAGGTCTTTGACCAAGTTACACAATTATGCTTTCTGCTTTATTTTTATTTAATTATATTTTTATTGATTTCAGAAAGAAAGGGGGAGAGAGAGAGAGAGGGAGAGAAACATCAGTGAGGAGAGAGAAGCACTGATCGGCTGCCTCCTGCACTCCCCCTACTGGGAAAGGAGCCCACAACCAAAGCCTACCTCCCTTGGCTGGCCAACCTTCCCTGGTCCCTCCCCCCGATGGCTGGCCAGGCCTATGGACCCCACCCGTGCACAAATTCTGTGCACCCTTCTCGGGGAAGCCATTGAGCTAGCTGAGAGGTGTCCTTTTCTAATTCCTCCAAAGGAGAGACATACTTGGATTAGAATGCTGAGAATTATTATTTTAGTATTTTTATCCCCCCCCCTTATCTTACACAAATAAAATATAAGTTCCTTAATGGCAGTAGAGTAAATACCTTTCTTAGTTAATAATGAAACAAAGTAATCTTCTTAAATATTATTTGGTTTTCCTCAAAGCTAAGTGAAAAACAGGTATTTGAAGTTTCAAATGGGATTTGGTAAATGTGGTTTAAGAGACGCTGGGAATGGAGAAAGGAAAGGCAAAAGCTAAAATAATCCCGTAATTCCTTCACTTGAAGAGGAGCCATGTCAGCACTGTGTTTGTCCTTGCAGCCCCTCTTCCTTCTCATGTTTAACAGATGAGGCTGACAGGGTAAGCTGCTTCATAGTTAACAGTAAATGCACTCCCATTGGATTAACATTCTCTTACAAAATGGAAAACTGTGTGGTCAGCACAGCCTCACGGAGGACAATAACCCCTTCCGTCCCAGAGACCTTACCCAGGCATTGCTGGTACCAGGTCTCCGTCAGTTGGCACGATGGGGAAGGGATTGAGGAGGCCGGTGCCAGGCTACTGGGAGGGGAGTGGTCAGCAGGAGCTGCTCGATCTATGCAGGCAGTTCTCATTTTGCACGTCAGCCAGGGTGAGGCAATCCGGAAATGACTGCAGCATCTTGATCATGTATATTTTAGTAGAACTCTTTTTTAAAGATATATTTTGTTGATCCTTTACAGAGATGAAGGGAGAGAGGGATAGAGAGTTAGAAACATCGATGAGAGAGAAACATTGATCAACTGCCTCCTGCATACCCCCTACTGGGTATGTGCCTGCAACCAAGGTACATGCCCTTGATCGGAATCGAACCTGGGACCCTTCGGTCCGCAGGCCGATGCTCTGGTCCACTGAGCCAAATCTGCCAGGGTTATTTGAGTATAATTCTTAATGCTTAGCAGAATTACTGATACCATCATTGCTTCACATGGGTGGAGGAGTTTTCTTTTAGTACATTAAATCCTGGTCAATTTTTGTTGAAACCACAGAACAGATCTGTTTGCAGCAGAGGTCTCATTAAAGGGAGGCTTGGCTGCTCTCGATGGGAAGATTGGAACAAAACGCTGGGGAGGCGGCGGCTTTATCTGTGGGAGCGAACAGAGGGCCTTTCTCTCCCTCCCATTCATCTGCAGGAAGGCAAGCCCAGTTGCCGTGAATTTAGGGAAGCAGGCTTCATACGGATTCATTTTCTAAAGTAGCATCAGTCTTCCATCGGAGTTGCTGTGGGGAAGGAGAAATGGGCCCCGGGCACCTGACAGGGCCTCTCCCCTCGCTGGGCATCTCCTGTGATGTTAGTGATGTTAGTGACAGTGGTGCAGTAAATGGAAAACAGACTCACATGTGACACTCTGAGAATGCCGTGCTCAGCATTCTCCCCTCCACCCCCTTGGTTAACTCTGCAGAGGCTGGACAAAACTTGTTTATAGTCCTCGCTGGTGTGAACACCTCAGTTGCAGTCTCCATTTCCAGCCTGTGCAGGAGGCAACCGATCGATGTATCTCTCTCACATTGATATTTCTCTCTTTGCCTTTCCCTTCCACTCTCTAAAAATGAATGGAAAAATGTGCTTGGGTGAGGATTGTCAGAAAAACCACCAAGCTTTGTTTATAGGTGTATTATATTCAGGAACCCTAATTTCAAAAGTGGTTACAGTAAAAGACGGAATCGCTTTAAGCTTCCAACAGCCATTAACCCAATTTATAGGACATTTATTTTGAATTCTTTAGTGCTCACCGGTGGATGGTAATGCATTTCCCTCCCTCGTAAGCGTTTCTTTATAGTAGTGACCCTCAGTGCACAGTGGTCTGAGTAGTGCCTTCATGGAGCGGGCATCGCCCTAATTTTATGATGATTCTTGGGGAGGTGTGTTGGGAGCTTTTCTTGGTTGTGTGTGTGTGCAGTGGTACCCTAGAAAAGCTGCTTTTTTCCATAGAAACACAGCCCAGAAGATAAATCTGTAGCAAAATCTTAGCTAGGTGGGGCAGAGTGTTAGCGATGACAGTAAAATAACCACTGAGCAGACCTGTCATGGTCCCATCTCATTTCCTGGAGCCGGAGCGTTTGTAATCCTGGAGCCTAGAGGTGTTTGACTCCTCCTTTTCTCTGCAGGGCATACGGAATGCTTTAACTGTCGCATGTGTCAGTAGATATTTTACAACAACCCATTCCAACTTAGGTTCTCCCCCACCTCACTCACGCCAAGTATAAAGTTGCAGCGTGAGCTGGAGCTGGCGAGAAAATGAACAGAGAACGGCCTCTGTCCAAATTAAGTTAAGAACACAGGAACTTCCTGTGAGTCGTTTCCTGTCCCTTCCAACAAAAGCAAACAAAAGCCTCCCATAGCTATGCAGCCTCTTCGGAGCTGCTCATATTAATAGTATGACTCCTAATGTGCTAAGCGTTGGCGAGGGGTCCCCGCTCACGTGGCCGAAGACGTTCTCTCAGAGACAAACTCCTCGTTTCTCTCTCTCCCCAGAGCACAGCCATGGAGGAGACGGCCATCTGGGAACAGCACACGGTGACGCTTCACAGGGTGAGTGAATTCTGCGTGGATCCCGGCGCAGCTCAGGATGCTGGCCGCCCCGGCACACAATGGGGAGAGCAGATGTCCGGAAGCCGAAGGAAGGGCCAGCTTTCCTCTGCCCTGCTCAGATTAGAATCGCATACGCTCTCCCAAGGTCAGCAGGGACCCCTGCTCTCCAAACATCCTGTCCGTGGGCAGCTGTGCGTTTGCCGCTTCGCTCTGACGGAAGGGGTCACTGACTGTCAGTTTGGAGGGATCCGATGAGACGCTGCGCCCTGTACGCATGGTGAACTGCCTCAGCGTTTCCCAGGACATGCACGGTACCAGGTGCTGTGGGCAGTAAAATCGTACAGGACGCTTGTGCATTTGACACGCGTAGACCCCAAGCCACCGCATAAGCAGCTGCAGATGGGCAACGAGCAAGCAGCAGGAAGCTGGGTCCGAGTAAGAGCCTGTCTGCCCTGCGTGGCATCCTATGCGGCCTCTTCCCCTTTAGAAACGGGCAAGGGATCCCGTCCCCTTCTAAAGCTGTGGTCTCCACAGGTGGTTGTTTTGTTTTTTTTAAACTTACGAGAGACAGAGACAAAAAGACAGACAGACAGACAGACACATTGATTTGTTGTTCCACTTACTTTTGCATTCATCGGTTGCTTCTTGTATGTGCACTGACGGTGGATCAGACCTGCCACCTTGGTGTATTGGGCGATGCTCTAACCTACTGAGCTACCCGGCCAGGCTCCACAGGTTTAGATTGGGCTGATGGCACCTATTTGGGCTTGACATACAGTAAGTCTCTCCCGTGACCCCCCTCTGCAGAGAGCTATTGCCCTGCCCTGTAGAGTGACCAGGAAGAGACTGGAGGACATACTGGGCACTCCCCAGCCGGTCCCCACCAGGAAAGGGGACGGGGAAAGCGTGTTCTGAACTCGGCCCTGGTTCTTTCAGGAGTGTTTACCCTGCACATGATAGATAGTGGTGAATTAATTATTAAAAACCTCGATTTCAGATACGGTGCAGTGGATTTTTCTTATGCCTCCCTAAAGGGTGATAAAAGAAATCACTAAATAATACTAAGGTTAACTGTTAATTTATAAGGCTGAAATATGACTTCTGTTTGTTTGAAATGTACTGGTAGGTAAAATATTTCAACCAGATTAAACATATAAAATAACTTCGTACCTTAAAATTATTTAATTAGCTGGTATTATTTTATCACATTACATTTATTTTCTGAAAACCTTTATTATTTTCATTGGTGTGACTGGCATACAGTAAAATTCATGTGCACAGTAAAATTCAACTGTACGGCTTATTTGACAAATATATATAGTCATGTAACCACAACTTCAGTAAAAATACAGAGCATTCATCACCCTGAAACTTGTGCCCATTTATAGTCAGCTCTGCCCCTCACCCCAGCACATAGCAACCGCTACATGCATTCTGGAAGAGGCTAGACATTTCTGTGTAAGAACAGAACACCATCAGCGGTTGTGTTCTGTTCTTACACAGAAATGTCTAGCCTCTTCCAGAATGCATGTCAGTGAGCTCACACTATATATGTGTAGACTTTGAGACTGGTTTCTTCTAACGTTTTTGAAATTTCTTGTATCAGTAATTCTTCATTTTGTTTTCTTTTGTTGTTAGTTTCTTCTTATTGCCCAGTAATATTGCAGCATATGAATGTAGAGAGATTTACTTACTCATTCTCCAGTTTTTATACATTTGGTCTGTTTTCAGGTTTGGGTGATTCTGAGTCAGTCTGCTCTAGTATACAGGTTTTTGTGTGAACCTAACTTTTCATTTCTCTTGGGTACTTAGGATGGAGTTGTTGTGTGTCTTATGGTAAATGAATATTAATCTTTTTAAAATTTATTAAGGTATTATATGTGTACATATCTTACCATTGCTGCACCCGCACCCCCCCCCCCCCCAAATATTAGTCTTATAAGATGCTGCCAAACTGTCCGTCCTATTTTGCATCCTTGCTGCCTGTATGTACGGGCCCCAGTTGCTGTATATCTTCACCAACACGTGATGTCCTCAGGGTTGTTTGGGGTTTTCTGTTTTCTTAAGCCACGCAGATAGGTGTAGAGTGGTATGTGGTTGTGGTTTTCGTTTCTGAGTTCTCTTAAGACGAATGATGTTGAGTATCTGCTTACGTGCTAACTTGTCCACATACCTTCTTTGATAAAATGTGTTCACATCTGTTGCCCATTTTTAATTGGGTTATTTGTTTTCTCATTATTGAGTGTTTTCTTATAATGTGGTAAAATACACCAAACATAAAATTTACCATCTTTCAAGCCCTTTGCCCATTTTTTAATTGGCTTATTTGTCTTTTAATTGTTGAGTTGTAGGAATTCTTTACCTATTTTAGATATTAACCCCTTATCAGATATATGACTTGCAAATATTTTTTCCTATTCTATGGGTTGTCTTTGCATTCTGTTGAGTGTGTCCCTTGGTGCACAAAAGTTGTTACTGAGTTTTGAGAGTTCTTTCTATATTCAGGATACAAGTTTAATTTCTTTCTGTCTTTGTAAAAACCAGTGACCATTTGTGTGGTCTTTCCTTGGTCTCTTCTATTGATCAAAGTGTCTGTCTTCCTGCAGTTACTTCTGTGTGACTGTCACAGCTTTAAAAAAACAGTTTTCTTCCTAGTCTGTTGGTGTGGTCAACTCTTGCTTTTGGAATGTTGAACAGTATTGCATTCTCACGATAAATTTCACTTGATTGTAATATAGCATCTATTTTCTATATTGCTCATATTTTTTGAAGATATGTGTTTCTGTGTTTATAAAATACTGGTTAGTACTTGTGTGTGGATTGTTCTTACCTGGTTTTGGTGTCGCCTCAGAACAACTCCTGAACAGTTGATGTTACTTCTTCCTTCAGTGTTTGGTAGAATTCATCTGGGCAGCCAGCCATCTGGTCCCGGAGCTTCTTTGTGGGAAGGCTTGTAACTATGAATTCAGTTCTGTGATGTGTAGGACTGTCCAGTTATGTATCTCTCCTTTGTTAGCGCTTCTTTTTGGGTAGCTTGCATCTTTCAGAGTATTTGTCCCTTTCATCTAATGTATGAACATAAAACTGTTAACAGTGGTCTCTTATTCTTTTGCCATAGAGTCTGTAATGAGGCCCTGTTCTTCTTTTTGTTATTGGTAATTTGTGTCTTTTATTTCTTGGTCTGGCTGGCTAGAGGTTTAGCAATTTTGTTGATCTTTATAAAATACCAGTTTTTGTTTTCATTGATACATTTTGTTTTGTTTTTTTATTTGATTGATTTCTGCTTTTTTTTTTTCTGCTCTTATTTTTATATCTCCTTTTTTCGGCTTAGGTTGGGTTTAAGTTGTTCTCTTAATAAGTTCTTAAGATAGAAGCTACATCATTCTTTTGAGGCCATAGGTGTAATTTGGCATTATCACATTCCATGTGTTTTTCCCTAGTACCTTTTAGTTTTTAAATAAACAAAATGAAATAAGACCCACTAGCTAAATTATGTTTCTCCTTCCTACTATTTTGCCTCGTTTTGTTGGGAATGCACGTGTGGGAACATGGTATTTACTACAGATCATTAGCTGAGGGAACGCAGGAAAAGCTCTTGAGCGTTGAGAAGTCAGGAACCGCTTTTCTGAATGAGCTGAGTGTCACACGCACTCGGCACGGCTGAGGGCGCCCGCCCAGAAGATGGGGGCCGTTTCTTCTGCAGCTCCTCCTCCGGGCTCGGTGTCCTCTCTCTGCCCGGAGAGGGGCAGCCACACTGCACTCAGCTCGGCCAGAGTAGGATCTGGCTCTGCGGGAATATTGGCGGCAGCCTTTCCTGTCAGGAGCCGGTGATATTTTAGGCTTTGCAAGCCGTAAATCTCTCACGACTACTCACCTCTGCGCTGGCATTGCAGAAGCAGCCATAAATAGTAGATGGACAAGTGGGGGTGGCTGGGTTCCATAAAACTTTATTTACAACACTGGGCGCTTCCCAGCTCTGGCCTGCAGGCCGGGGTGTCTGACCACTGGCAGGGAGCAGCGACTTCCGTTTTCTCATTGTGAAGAGTCCACTGGGCCATCCCCAGCTGTGGGATTCTAGTCCCTTTGTCTGCCTCTTCCTACACGCTCCCGTTGAAATGGGGCCACGGCCTCCGGCTGCCATTTCTGGGAAACACTGCCAGAGGAACGAGAAGCGCAGTAAGTGAAGGTGATTGGAGGCTGTCATTTTGGCGCTAGCCATGTGTGGCCAAGGAAGGACAAATCCGTGCCCTTTGACACCTGATGGTCAAGTACATGTAAGGCAGAAGTAACTTTGTCTGTTAAAAGAGTGAAATTCTGTAGATGAAAACACAGTAGTTCCTGCTGTTCGCTGTCAGGAACGATGCACCATGTGCTTCTGCATTGCCCCTGCCGCTATCGGCATTCCCAGAGGAGCCTTTTTCACCTGCGCGTGTTAGGCACTCTCTCAGCCTGCCCCTTTAAGACGTCCTGTTCTCTCTGGAGGCTGAGGCTGCTGCTCCGCCGTGTGCCCCGCACGGTCACACCCGGAATGATGGCGGAGAACCACGCAGGCCGACGCCTGGCCTTTGGGCTCTGCTCTGCCCACTGGCCCTGAGTGACTGGAGACGGTCCTCAGGTAGCTGTCGCCCCTGTCTCCTGTGCACCGTAAGCTCCTTAAGGGGAGGAAGTGTTGGCCGGTTTATAACCCCATAGAGCTCGGCACTTAGTTAAAAGCCCCATAAAAGTTAATTTCCTAGGAGACCACCCTGTCAACAAAGTCACTCTCAGGAGGTCCGTACAGCAGCCTCATGTATGTAATGGGAAGACATGCATAATTTAGGATTGTCTAGCCTTCTTATTAAAAAGTAAGATGCAGGTGAAATTAATTTTATAGATCTTATTTATTTAGCTCAGTATATCAAAAATAATACCATTTTCAACATGTGAGCAATATTTAAAAATGGATGTGCTTTATTTTTGTTATTCCATAGAGTCTTACAAAACCAGTGCTCATTTTCCAATTTCAGCACAGCTCTGGTCAGACTAGCCACATCTCCAGCACTCAGTGTCTGCATGTCTCTTGTTTATCATACATTTAGTTTCCCTACCAGGCAGAGGTTTGAACACAAAAGCTATTGCCACTCGTGGCTGTTAATGGTCTCAAAAGGATGAACTATGGTGAGAGAAAAAATTTTGGATGCTTTCTCTTCCATTCAAAAGCTACAGTGTTGATGACTAGGAACAGGATTAACATGTTTTGCCATGTGCTGTTCCTCTTCCCGTGTAAACAAACGGCTTTCCCATGTCCCCTGCCACTGCTGCCAATGCACTTCTTCCCCTCATCCTCGTGGAACCTCCCCCACAGCCAGTGTGTGTTCAGTGCTGTCGCCAGTCGGCTCGGGGTCTCTCGTTGCACTGAGGGTCAGGGTGTCACCCTCGGTTAGCCCGGCGTGGAGACAGCACCCCGTCTCCTTGCACGTCCGCCAGCTTCTCGGTGCCCTGGCTCCCTGGAGGTCGGTTTTACTGGATGGAACTCTCGGGCTCACTGTTTCTTGGAGTATCTTTGGCACATCATGTTGCTGTCCAAACGTGATGATAATCTAAGTTTCTTTTCTTTGTAAGTTATGAGCTTTTTCTAAAGCTCCCAGTCAGCTCTGGAATTCTGTCTGCTCAGTTCATGCTTTCGTGGTCTGTAGGGAAGTGACTCTGCCGCTCCTTATCTTCATCGTGATGTTGTAAGGGATTCGATCCCGACACTCTTTTTGCTTTTTTTAATGTGAAATTAATTTCTTAGAGATTTTAGAAATCGGCTTAGTTTCTTGGTATGTGTGTGTGTGTGTGTGTGTGTGTGTGTGAGAGATAGAAAGAGAGAGAGAGATGTATGTGCTACAGAACATACCTGCTGCTTTCTGACACATCTTATCTCTGCGCCCATTGGACACGTGGCCTTGGCCGTTCTCTGCTTTGTCTCTACTGTTCCTGTCCTGCTCATGGCTGCTTTCCTGCCAGCGGTGCCTCCTGTGTGGAGCCCGTGTGCAGAGCCCGGGGTGACACGGCTCCGGGGCAGGTCCTGTTCCCTCCTGCGGTCGGAGTAGGCAGTCCCTCCGTGTCAGCTGCTGTTCCCATGTTGTTTTGCCCTTCTTCCCAGCGAATGCCTGTTGTTATTTGGGGTTCTCAGGTCTCGGGTGTGTCAGACACCTGTGGCTTTCCTCCCAGGTAGCTTAGTGCCCATGTGTTCTATGTGCTCTACGGTTTCAAGTCTTTAATCCCCTTTGAGCTAATTTGTGTGTATGGTGTAAGAGAGTGAGTAGTTTCATTCTACTTCCCGTGTCCGTAGATTTGTCTTTTCTGAACATTTCCCATGAATTGAATTATACTATAGATGGTCTTTTCTGATTGGCTTCTTCACTCGGCATGGTGTTTCCAAGGTGGCTCATTTTTTCATAGCATGTACTAGTGCTTCATTTCTTTTTAGAGCAAATAAGAGTCCATTGTAAGCATGAACCACCTTTTACTTGTCGGTTCACCAGTTGGTGGGCCTTTGGGCTGTCTCCCTCTGTGGCCATAGCAAAAGCTGCCGTTAGGAACACGTGGGTATAAGTCTTCGTGCAGGTAGCTGCTTTCATTTTTCTCGGGCCTGAGGCATGAAGTTGCAGGTGGTTTATTCTTTCCTAAGGAGAGTCTTTTCCTTTTTGCCACTCGAGTAGGCTTTGGGTGGGAGTGAGGGTCGTGACGTACACCCAGCCCCCGGGGGACATGGTCTCGTGGTTGCATGGCAGAGGCTGTGGAAATCTGTGGGAAGACGCTGCTCTGGCTCACGGTCCCGGACCCTTGGAGAACAGGTTTCCTACACGGTCTGCGTATTTCACTTCCTCCTCAGAAGAGCGATGGTGTGCATTTCTCTGAGGTTATCTTAGCTCTTACAGAACATCAAGTAGTTGGCAGTTCTCACTATTCTCTGATGCCATTTAATGCACCAGAGCGCATGCCCACCCCAGGCCGGATCATCTGGTGAGTAACCATCCTGGTGAGGGAGTGGGCACCTCGGATGAAAGATTGCTATCATTTCTGCTTTTCAATGTTTTTAGTTTGTAGAGTGCGACAGGATGAGCAGCTATTTTTCTTAATCAGTGACATTTTACTGTGATTATCACTGTAGGCTCCGGGATTCGGATTTGGAATTGCCATCTCGGGAGGGAGAGACAACCCCCACTTTCAGAGCGGGGAGACCTCGATCGTCATTTCGGACGTGCTGAAGGGAGGGCCCGCCGAAGGGCAGCTGCAGTAAGTGTTCCCCCTGACCTCCAGCAAGTTCTCTAAGTGAATCCTTATCTCGGCCCTAAATGGAAAGTAAGTATATGAGCCTTGAATAGAAGGTCGCTGTGAAAATAGTGGAACAAACAGCGTTTACTCAGGTTTGGGTAGAACCTAGCCCTTAGAACCTCTCACCCTGAGCCTTGCTGTTTTGTTCAGTAAGATAATCAAGAGAAAGAGGCCAAAGGAAACTAGCAAAAAAACAAGTGTATAATCAGAAGGATTAAAAGAAAATCCAAAGGGAAGGAGTATTTATTTTTTTAAAGGGAGAACTTTTCCCGGCTGTATAAATAATATCATATATACCCTGTACTTGTACCAGCGGAATTACTCTGTGTTGTGGTACCTGCTCAGTCCTTCAGGAAACATGTTAATGGCTTTGTTTTGTTTTTGTTTTTTAATATATTTTTATTGATTTCAGAGAGGAAGGGAGAGGGAGAGAAAGAGATAGAAACATCCATGATGAGAGAGAATCATGGATCGGCTGCCTCCTGCACGACCCCACTGGGGATCAATCCTGCAACCCGGGCCTGTGCTTGGGAATGGAACTGTGATCTCTTGGTTCAGAGGTCGATGCTAAACAACCGAGTCACACTGGCTGGGCCATGTGTTAATGGGTTTAAAAAAACACGAATGACCTGTGGGTACTTGCTACTAAGCGTGTTTGTGAGAGATCTGAAAGTAAATAGTTTGACATTTCATCATTGATCTGAAGACAAATAGATTACCTAGTCCATAATTATAGTACTTTTTAGAAGTACTCATCTTGAAAATACCTTCACAAACCTACCTGTATGTTTTTCTCTAACGTGCTGTTTTGGTGGCTTTTTTCTTAGGGAAAATGACCGTGTTGCCATGGTTAATGGAGTGTCCATGGATAATGTTGAACATGCTTTTGCTGTTCAGCAGCTAAGGAAAAGTGGGAAGAATGCAAAAATTGTGAGTCCCTTCTACCTTTAATCGAGTAAAGATACCAGCTTTATTGTCGACAGCATTTCTGGTGTTTGTGTCCTTCCTCTTTAAAACAATGAAATCTGGGGAATATCGAGTAGGGGAGGGAAGTGGCACTGATCTCTATCGATGTGTTAGCGATTCCATGGGAAGGGAAGAGGCGGACGGAAGCATTGCCGAACAAGCAAAACATTTCTGTCCAGTAAAGTGAATGGTAGAAGCCCGCATCAGCAGAACATGGCCCTGCCACCAGCCTAGGGGAAGATAATGCAGGGCTGGAGTTGTTGTGGCAGATGACCGAGGGCCAAGAGGAAGTCATCTAAATATCGCACATGATCTCTCATGCAAATGTGGGAGAGCTGATGGGCTTAGAGAACAGGAGAGGATGGAGGAGAATCGCAAGTAGGTAGATATGGAAAAGGCATCAGAAGTGAAAGACAGGGCGTGGTCCCAAGATGCTGCAGCCCTGTGATGAGACCAAGTGAGTACCAGGTGAGGCCAAGGGCAGACCGGGCCTCAGAGGCCACTTGACCAGGAAGTAGTGCATGTAGACCTTGACCTCCAGGGAGCGAAGGAAGTAAGTGGACCCGGGAAGTTGGACCAGTGACCAGTCATTGAGGAAAGAGAACCTGGAGAAGTAACTCAACAGACCAGAATTTACATCCAGGGAGACAGAGACTGCAGGCAGAGAGTGCTGGGGACGGGGAGCTGCGTCTGTGCTGTGATGCTGAGTTGAACGTCATTGTGGAGGTGGAATAAATTTCTCTCCTGGAGGTCCAGCAGGACCATCACGGGCCTTGATACTGACGGTTCTGAAGTTCTTAAGGAGTCAAGGAGGGCTTGCAAGTTTGCTATGGTTTGGTAGCAACCACAGTAATATTTTAAAAATACATTTTTATTGATTTCAGAGAGGAAGGGAGAGGGAGAGAGGGAAAGAAACATCAGTGATGAGAGAGAATCATTGATCAACTCCCTCCTGCACGCTCCCTGTTGGGGACCAAGCCTGAAAGCCAATCGAACCGTGACCTCCTGGTTCATAGGTTGATGCTCAACCACTGAGCCACGCCGGCCGGGCTATAGTACATTTGTTATTGGAGTGGAATGCACTATTTATTTATTCAAACCACCAATAATTATTAGTTTTCCTTTAGGCTTGTGATGATTGCTCCCAGGAGGTCTTTCTGAATTAAAGCAAGGACTTTCTGAGGCCCACTCTCCCAAATTTGGTTCTTAAGCAGATCTCTTTATCAGGAGAGCAGAAAACCCAACCATTATGGGAATGTATTCCTTGGTAACGTGTTATCATTATTCCTTATATCTCTCTGACTCATAATTAACTTAATTAACGTGGCACCAGAGTGGTGTAATTTCCCCCTCTCAGGAACAGAAGCCTCCTGTGCTGGAAAGCAGTCACTCACTCGACAGTCTCTCTCTTCAGACCATTCGCAGGAAGAAGAAAGTCCAGATTCCTGTGAGTCGTCCCGACCCGGAGCCCGTGTCTGAGAACGAGGCGGACAGTTACGACGAGGACGTGCCTGACCACAGAGGGGGCCGTGGGGGCACGGCCAGCAGGCGGAGTGAGAAGAGCTGGGCGCGGGACAGGAGCGCCAGCCGGGAGAGGAGTCTGTCCCCGCGGTCCGACAGGCGATCGGTGGCCTCCAGCCAGCCTGCCCGACCCACCAAAGTCACATTGGTCAAGTCACGGAAAAATGAAGGTATCCATCTGCTAGGACAGCTTCAGACATTACCGTCTTCTTTTAAAATATATTTTTATTGATTTTAGAGAGGAAGGGAGGGGGAGAGAGAAACATCCGTGACGAGAGAGAACCGTTGATCAGCTGCCTCCTGCACGCCCTGGAAGTAAATGAATAAATTAGTACAAGGAATATCTTGGAGTCATCTCTGCTCTGGTCATTTGTTACTTTTAAATCTTGAATATGGACAGTTTTCCCATATTCCTCTGTGACACAACAACCGTTTTTGAACCACATCGTAGATGGCCTAGGTCCCCTGGAACCGCGGGCACCAGCAGGTGGCCCATGGACCCCCGGTGTCCGTGAGGTCCCAAAGGTTGGCGACCGCTGCCCTCGAGAGTCATTTTCCTTGTCTGCCTGAGTCTGTTCCAGTTGTGGGCACTCTGTATGTTTGCCTTAAGTTAAACTGTAACCGATGTAGCTTTTACAAGTTGGAGTAGCAGTTCTGATAGCTTCCCTGCTATTAAAACTTTTCTCCTTCCCATCTCGGTGCTTCTTTCTTTAATGTAGTGGCACTGAGAGTCCTCTCCCCTTCCAGCAGCACTAGCAGCAGCCCTGCCGTCGGCACTGTGCTGTCATCCTTGTTCTAGTGAAAAACGGGATGCACAGCTTTGCAGACCTCTGGACTCGGCTGGTGGTTCCCTCAACTCTGACCGACTCCTCGCCCATGGAGGCAGTTACCGTTGCCTCATTCCTGGCTGCTTGGTGGTGGGAAAAGCACCAGAATGGCTGTCTGTCTCCAGCCCAGCCTCAGCTGGCTGGCCGTCAGCCTTTGTCTCACTGACACCGGGAGTGTGTGCTAATGAGTGCCCGGGGGCACGGCTCTCCAGGGCCACAGGCACGCAGGATCAGATAGAAAGACTTCTGCTCTAGAAACTTGGGAAAGCAGAAACAGAATATGCGTGGTAAGGCAGGCCATCCCTGGAACTGTCCCTTCCCAGAGTTCTCTGCCCCACCCCGGTGCTTCTTGGAATTGTATTCCCTGGAGCTTGGGAAGCTAGTGTGCCACCCCCCAGGGCCAGAGAGAAGGGTCTTCCCACGGGATGGGCCCCTTCAGGAACACGGGAGCGCAGTGTGCTTGCCATCCTGTGTTTGCACCACACACTTGCCCCTGCTGGCACACTGAGTGCGGGCTCCTGAGGGAGAAAGGAAACGCTGTCTTACAGAGGGGCCAAGAATGAGTTATTGGTACTGATTCTGTTTTAAAACTTTAAAAAATACATAATTTTTTTTTTTTTTTAATTGATTTCTGAGAGGAAGGGAGAGAGAGAGAGGAACATAAACAATGAGAATCATTGATCGGCCGCCTCCTGCACACCCCATACTGGGACAGCCAGGGCGTGTGCCCTGACCAGGAATTGAACTGTGACCTCCTGGTTCTTGGTTGACATTCAACCACTGTGCCACACCAGCCGGGCTATTTTAAAACTTATACAGTGATTGGTAGTCTGATACTTTTAAACTTTAAGTGTTTAGGATTTTGCACTAAAGACATTTCAATATGTTATTTCAGAATATGGTCTCCGACTGGCCAGCCACATATTTGTGAAGGAAATTTCACAAGATAGCTTGGCAGCGAGAGATGGCAATATTCAAGAAGGCGATGTTGTCTTAAAGGTACACTCTTACGTTGTAGTGAACGGAATCAGAGAGCGAGTTCTGGTGGGACCACGTGGCTTCTGCCAACGTTTGAAGCAGTTTTCCCAAAAGAATTGAAATTCAGGGTTTGGGGGCTGGCTACTTTGCCGCTGTCTTGTTTATATGTCAGCACCGATGCCCTTCGTCAGGCATAGAGTCCTCCTGGGAGAACTCACCGCTCTGCGTTTGTATCGCTCACCAGTAGAGTCACAGTGTAGGAAGCTGTGTTCCTTTTTATGCCATAAGTGGTCTTGACACCTGCTCTGATATTACTGAGATGTGTATTCTGTTAACTTGCTGTGTAAGTAATAGAAAGGGGCTGCAATGGAGAGGGGCCAGGGCATGTGGGTTTGCTGTCATGGCACCAGTGTAATCAAGATGTTACTGTTCCGGGAAGGAGGAGGACTTGGGACCACAGCAAAGGGTGAAGAATGTCTGGGTCGTTCAGGGAGCCAGGGAGCCGGTAGCTGTTCCTGTTCCTAGTGGACGGAAGTGTCTGTATTTGTGTCATTAGCCTCCCACCCACGGCTGCTTTTCTGTTGCAGATCAATGGGACCGTGACGGAAAACATGTCCCTGACGGACGCCAAGACGCTGATCGAGCGGTCCAAGGGCAAGCTGAAGATGGTGGTGCAGAGGGACGAGCGGGCCACGCTGCTGAACGTGCCCGACCTCTCGGACAGCATCCACTCGGCCAACGCCTCAGAGCAGGATGGTGAGTGTGGGCCTCACCCGGGTTCCCTTACGTGACCCGTTCTTAAAGTGCCAGGGACACTTGATGTGTTTGAGCGAGATAACTTCCTACAAGCCAGCCACCTTCAGATCTAAGAGTTACAAATGTATATGCATGGTTCATTTTACTTTCCCCAGCGTTACAGAAAAGTAATGAACATGCACCATTGTATGTATAAGCATGACGATTTGATTGCATGCATGCTGAACTGATTGCCACGTAATGCTGGGGTTGGCTGTTTTGTTTTTAAGCGTCCACATGCAAGGGAGGTCATGCAGTGTTTGTCCTTGTCTGACTTAGCTCTTAGCATGTCTTCCAGGCCCTTCCATGCTGTCACTCTGTGTTTGTTTTCCTGTGGACAGCACACCCCTGCTCACCAGTGGCCTCTGAAGTCACTGCTTAAATCAGCCATTTTTTGTGAATTAGATTTAGTGCTTATCACTATTATCATTGGAGCATCTTATATTTCACGGAAAACGAAATCTTTTCATTTCATGGGAAACTAAATGGCCCCTTTTATTTAACAGACATTTCAGAAATTCATTCACTGGCATCGGACCATTCTGGTCGATCACATGACAGGGCTCCCCGCCACAGCCGGTCGCGATCTCCTGACCAGCGGTCAGAGCCTTCTGACCATTCCAGACATTCGCCACCGCAGCCCAGCAGCGGCAGGTAATCACAGTGTTTTTAAAAAATATATATTTTTATTGATTTCAGAAAGGAAGGGGGGAGAGAGAGAGAGAGAAAGAAAAAGAGAGAAACATCAGTGTTGAGAGAGAATCATGGATCGGCTGCCTCCTGCACGCCCCCACTGGGGATCAGCCTGCAACCCGGGCATGTACTGTGACTGGGAATAGAACTGTGTCCTGGTTCATAACTCAACACTCAACTACTGAACCATACTGGCCAGGCGGTAATTATTCTTGTCCAAAATAGAATAGTTATGTTTGCTAGGTCTGTGTTTTAGCATTATTTACAGATAAATCTATTTTTCTTAGTCAATTTAGGTATTTCTTATCTAGAAAATCAGAGGTCAAACTTCTTAAGGCTAAATAGTACAATATTTTATGCATGCGAACCATGCATCTCTTGTCACTACTCAGCTGTTTTTGTATCACAGAAGGAACCTTAGACAATATGTAAATGAATAGGCCTGGCTGTATTCCAATAAAACTTTATTTATAAAGACAGTTGGCCCACAGCTGCACTTTGCTGAGGCCTGCAAGCTTATGTAATCCACTGCTCAGGGAAGGTAAACAGAGTAGGAGTCCTCTATTAGCCTGTTGTATAGGTCACGGGTTTCAGAGTGCAACCTGCAGACCAAAGCCAGCCTGCTGCCTAGTTGTGCAAATAAAGTTTTATTACAACCCTTTCTGCAATGACATAATTAAGAGGTTGCAACAGAGGCTGCATGGCCCACAGCAGGAATGTTAAAAAACAATATATGGGTAGAGAGAAGGATTACACTGGTGTTCTTCAGCTCGGTTTGTTTTGTGTTTATTCAGTCTTGTTTCAGAGCTCAGTTTGGGCCTAGACTTGTGCCTGTGTGAAAACACCAGGCTTTAATGTGAAGTATAGAATACGTTAAACAGCTCTAGGTCTGCATATATTATTGAATAATGTCTCCCTCTCTTGGTAGATAACAGAAATGCACTAAAGAGAGCATTGAGTTTTCAAATATGAAGAAAAATGCAATGGAATTATGTGATTCCCATCTGAAATGTTATTGAAATCATAATAATTGTATTATGTAATAATTGTACTATACTCATAATACAGTATTTTCATGGCTGCCTCCTGCACCCCCCATACTGGGGATGGAGCCAGCAACCCAGGCATGTGCCCTGACTGGGAATCGAATCATTACCTACTGGTTCATAGGTGGGCACACCAGCCAGGCACCTGCTGGCTTCTTATAACAGTTTGAGAGCCGTTAGAGGAAGTTCTGGCATCGTGTTAAAGTTCTTCTCTTACAAAGGACGTTCGCAGCCTTCCTCACTCTGGTGACTTCTCGTTTGGTCCTTGTGTAGTCACCGGAGCAGGGAGGAGGAGAGAGTGTCCAAACCGGGGACGGTCTCGCCGCCCGTGAAGCATTCGGAGGATCGCGCCCCGAAGGCAGTGGAAGAGGTCGCAGGGGAGAGAAATGAGAAGGCAGCGGCCGCTCTTCCAGGTGAGCCTCCGGCACCGCGTCTGGAGGACAGGCCCTCCGCTGCGGCTCTGTCAGGCTTCAGGGGACTTCACAGGCGCTGCCAGTATTGTTGTTAATGCAGTACTGCTTCCTGCGTTGAATCTGTCTGTAACTTGCAGCATTTTCTCTACCGTGGAGGGTGGCATGGGTCAGTAGGCATGCATGGATGCTTTTTCTGGGTCGGAATTCCTCATGGTTAACAGCTGCTTCCCGTGAGGAAGGCTGTTCTCCATTAGAGCGACTGAAGGAGCACAGTGCTTTCTCCATTAGAGCTTATGAAAGTGCTTTCACAAACACTGTGTGGCAGTCACGGTGATCCTGTTCCAACGTACCTGTTACAAGGACGTTAGAGTTTGTTACAGACCCACTCTCCCCATTTAATACACGTACCTCAGCAGGTGCTCTGATCTTACATGTTATGCAGACTGGCTTCTTACATTATTCTATTTTTTAATCAGTGATTTCTGCTCCATGTGAATGTTCTCTCTTAGAACCAAAGCCTGTGTATGCTCAGGTGGGCCAGCCGGATGTGGATTTACCTGTCAGCCCGTCGGATGGTGTCCTGCCCAATTCCACGCATGAAGATGGCATCCTCCGGTAACGCGGCTTTGCCTTGCGCTGTCCTCTCTGTCCGCTACTGAGCGCCATTGAACGTGCGAGCTCAGTTTCCCACCACATGGCGTGTATTTAAAACTCTGCGTGCCATTAATGCTGTGATTGGGTTTAAAAGCTGTGATAGAATCAGAGACTAGAGAACAACAAAAGAACATTCTGGATGTGTGCTTTTTTCTTGTCGTCGTCTCCTACCTAGTTTTTAGGTCATGAATTAAAAAATTGTTTTTTATTTAGATACTAGATGTTTGACAAACTTCCTAATGCCCTAGCATTTTTTTTTTTAGATCAGTGTTTCTCCATTTCAGCATTATTGCCCCTTAGGCCACATATCTGTTTCTTAGTGCCCTGCTTAGAAGCATCACTGGCCACTAGCTGACAGTACACATCCCTGCTCTCTCCTCCAGGTGTGCCACCCAGAAATGGTTCCAGAGCACCCCTGGTTGAGAACCTGCTCTGGATGTTAGCGTCTCTAAATTTTTATATCCTGCACCTTTTATCACTGTACCTTCTTCAGTGGTGTGGTGTGGACCACATTTCAGACACGATGGTCCTTTAGTGCATTCTGAATGTGGTTTCATGGTAGCAGCTTGCTGTAACTTCTCAAGCCTCTCTTCCCCGTTTCAAACGAGATGTTTCTTTCAACAGGCCCAGCATGAAACTGGTGAAATTCAGAAAAGGAGACAGCGTGGGTTTGCGACTGGCTGGTGGCAATGATGTTGGAATATTTGTCGCTGGCGTTCTAGAAGATAGCCCTGCAGCCAAAGAAGGCCTGGAAGAGGGCGATCAGATTCTCAGGGTACGTCTGTGCGCTCACGCACACACGCGGGGTTGAAGCACATAGAACTCGGAGAGGCGTTGTGGCCCCTGCAGCCTGCGTTCTCCTTGACGTCCCCGCTGTGCTCTGCGCTGCCGCTGTCCTTCGTGAACACACTCTTGGGCTCCGCAGCGCTGTCCTCTGCCCTCTGAGCGTGGCTGCGCCTTTCCTGCCTTCCTCCGTGACTCTCCTAAACTTAGGGGTACACCCAATTAGAACTCTCAAAAGTGTCTTTCTGTTCGGTTGTACAAGTAGTGCATGCCGCTGTTCTTGTCACCCAGCGCCCAGTCACACTGACATCTGGACGAGGCCCTGCTGGTCCTTGGGAGCGGCTCATGCAAGTAACCGTTGCCCGGCAGCCGCTGAGCATTCACCAGTCCCACCGATGTTCTCACAGCAAGGCCTCGGCACAGCCGCTGTTGCTTTTCCATCTCGTTTCCTGCAGAGTCTAGTAAAATAGGGCTCTTTGCACATTTACAGAACTTGTAACTTAACATAAAGCCAGAGATTGTTCAGCAATAATAGATATTTGGAATTAGAAGTTGTCTTTGATCTAAAGTGGTTAGATTTTGCACTCAATAGTCTTCAAAGTCAGGATGCATGGTGACTGCTATGTATTTATTTTATAAATATATTTTTATTGATTTCAGAGAGGAAGGGAGAGGGAGAGAGAGATGGAACCATTAATGATGAGAGAGAATTGTTGATTGGCTATCTCTTGCATGCCCCACACAGGGGATTGAGCCCGTGACCCAGGCATGGGCCCTTGCCTGGAATCGAACCTGGGTCCCTTTACTCTGCAGGCTGATGCTTTATCTACTGAGCCAAACCGGCTGGGGTGTGACTGCTCTCCAAATGACTGTACACCTTCACTCACTTTACTTGGCTTATGCTTGTTTTAAATTATATTCTTTCTCCAAAGTCAGTGTCTCCATCTGACAGATGTGATGGTTTTAAGTGAGGTAAACTGAGAGTATTGCTTCCTGCGTGGATAAGCGCTTTGTGACCCTTAAGGCCATAAGTGACTTGTGACGGCCTATTGGCAGGTCAACAACGTGGACTTCACCAACATCATCCGCGAGGAGGCCGTGCTCTTCCTGCTCGACCTGCCCCGGGGGGAGGAGGTGACCATCCTGGCGCAGCAGAAGAAGGACGGTGAGCCCGGGCTTGGGCACTGAGGCTGAGATGGGAGTTCATTTCCCTTTAAGGTGCTCAGAGGCAGGGGTGAATGAATGGGCTCCTCACACAGCCGTGTTAGGACCACCCAGCCTCAGGGCGTTCTGGCTTAAGGAGGATGCCGACCAACCAGGCAAGGCCCAGGAAAACCCCTTTGTGCGTTAGCTGCAGAAGCACGCAGAAGCGCTAAGAGCAGTGTCCGCATTCGGGGCGAAGTCTAGGCAGTGCTCTGGTGTTTGTTAGGGTCCACACCCCGGAATGCCTGGTTCTCTCTGTCCATGTAGGACAGGGCTCCCAGCCTCGGCACCCGACATGGGTGACTCAGGCCTTCTTTGTGGTGGGGGCTGTTCTGTGCCTTGTGGGCATTAGGGAGCATCCCTGGTCCCTACCCACTAGTGCCAGTAGCACCCACACCCTCCTTCCCTCACCTCACCTGCAAAGTGGAGGTAGTGGTGACATACACGTGGCCAAGTGCCGGTCAGGGTCAGCATCTGTTGACACTATTATTTTGTTGTTAGTATTATCAATAGCCTCTTTGCATCGTAATTCTCATCAGCTTCATTTCTTGTCCCACTACCACTGATGGTGCTTTTGTCTTGATTCTTTTTAGTTTACCGCCGCATCGTAGAGTCAGATGTGGGAGATTCTTTCTATATCAGAACCCACTTTGAATACGAGAAGGAGTCTCCGTATGGACTCAGTTTCAACAAAGGAGAGGTGTTCCGGGTCGTGGATACCTTGTACAACGGGAAACTGGGCTCCTGGCTCGCTATTCGAATTGGCAAAAATCACAAGGAGGTGGAACGAGGCATCATCCCCAATAAGAACAGGTAAGACTGTTCGGCTGCTTCTCATCCAAGTCAGTAATGAGGTCAGAGTTCAGTCCCCCAGGAATGCTGGGATGTGAAGATTCATCTTCATTGTCTCATCGTGTCTGTAATGGACCCAGCGGTACCACCCCCTTGATTTTAGTATAACCAGTAAGATGTGAGCTGCCTGTGCGATTCTGTCCAGAATTCTGACAGTTCACTCCATGGGGGTGGTCTTCCCTTTTGTGGTTTTAAACCACCTGTGTTTGATGGGTGTCTCCCCTCGCGCAGGGCTGAGCAGTTGGCCAGTGTGCAGTACACGCTCCCTAAGACAGCAGGAGGGGACCGGGCCGACTTCTGGAGGTTCCGGGGCCTCCGCAGCTCCAAGAGGAATCTCCGCAAGAGTCGGGAGGACTTGTCGGCCCAGCCGGTGCAGACCAAGTTCCCAGCCTACGAGCGAGTGGTCCTCCGGGAAGGTAGTCTCTCCTCCGCACATTGGCCTGTCCCCTGTGTCCACGTGATTACAGAAGACAGGTGTTAACTGTGCCTCTCCTCATGGATTTCTTTCTCTGCAGCCGGGTTCCTGCGGCCCGTCACCGTCTTCGGACCAATCGCCGATGTGGCCAGAGAGAAGCTGGCGAGAGAGGAACCCGATGTTTACCAGATCGCAAGTAGGTCGCCTCCACACTCGTCGGGCGGGGGGGGGGAGGGGGGGGAAGGAGGGGTCGTTCACTCGGTGCCCCTCTAGGCTGAGCTGATCCCTTCACCTAAGAGAAGCAACAATTTGCTTTGTTTTGACAAAATATATTTTTACTGATCTCAGAGAAGAAGAGGAGAGAGAGAGAGAGAGACAGAAACATCAGTGATGTGAGAGACTCACTGATCGACTGCCTCCTGCACCCCCGACTGGGGATCGAGCCCACAACCTGGGCAGGTGCCCCACTGGGAATCCAACAATGACTTCCTAGTGTATAGGTTGACACTCAGGCACTGAGCCACGCCGTCCGGGCTGAATTGAGAGAATTGCCATATTTGACAATTTCTCTTGGGCAAGTGACAGTCTTAATTTTCGCTCAAGTTCTATTTCCTGATTCTCCGGGAAACGGTGTGTTGTTTACTGTAGAGTATGAGTTTGGATGTTTTGAACATACTGTACCCAGTACTGCCTCATGCAGAGGTTGGGGGTGCCCCATTAAACCTCGCACCGAGGCAAGGAGGCCTCTCCTACTACGCCCAGCCTCGCGGGAAGCACTGTCTAACCCAGCGGTTCCCATTCAGGGCAGACCCTCCCCATTGGCCATTTCCGTTGTCATAATGGGAGCGAGGGAGATGGGTGCTTCTGGCTTTGGGGATGGAGGCCGTGGCACAGGACACCAGCTGTGGGTCCCGTGTCCAGTGCGTTAGCAGTGCTGGTGGCTGAGGCGTTCTCCTCTAACCGGCGGCAGTTTGATGTTTTGTCTTGTCCTGACTCCACGAACAGAAAGCGAACCTCGGGACGCGGGGACTGACCAGCGCAGCTCCGGCATCATCCGCCTGCACACGATAAAGCAGATAATAGACCAGGTGAGCGCTGCGCGGCTTCCCGCTCAGCGGCGAGTGTCGTGGTTCTGAGCGGGACGCGGTTTGGCTCATCTGAAAGCAGAAAGTCATTTTTCTACAGTTACTGCCGGTGCACCGTGCCGAAAGGCGTAGTAATGGTCCCTCTCACGGGAATAGTGCGACATGCACCTAGAGATGGTTTTGATTGCCACACAAACAGTCAAACACATCAACAGACCGTTCACATTGCCTTACACGGCTCTAGTTTACCTGTGATCCTCATGGCAGGGCGTCTGCTCTTACTCTGCATGCCATGTCAGGAGCATGAAGTTGTCTAACGTATAATCACTCTAATCCTGTGGTTTTCAGCCGGTGTGCCTCAAGAATTCCTAAAACATGCAATACCTGATTATTTAGTCAGGGTACTGACCTTTTCCCACTTAGACTGTCAAATAAAAAAATGACCAACACAACAATAATATCCGGTGTGAATGAATCAGAATTATACTTTTTTTTTTTTTTCCCCACACAACAGCAAAAAATTACAGTATGTTTTTTGGTGATTTCAGTACTTAGTTCATGTGCTATGAGATGAAGAAAGGTTAAAAATTGCTAATATAACCAAACAGGCAGAATCATCAGTTTGTAAACATTGGGGCCAGCTTGAAAATGAGCTGCTTGAAGTTATTTTTTGTTGTTAGATTGGGCTAGAAATTGTATTGAATTAATTTTAATGACAGTCTCCTGAGACGTCGGAGCACAGGCGATGTCCGTCACGATTGGAGAGTCAGGCGGCGCCCTTTTCTGTGCTGATTCTGATTCCGTCTCGTGTCCTCACTCGTGTTTTGTGTGTTTCCAGGACAAACATGCTTTATTAGATGTCACACCAAATGCGGTCGATCGCCTGAACTACGCCCAGTGGTACCCGATCGTGGTCTTCCTTAACCCCGACTCTAAGCAAGGCGTGAAAACCATGAGGATGCGCTTATGCCCAGAATCTCGGAAAAGTGCCCGGAAGCTCTACGAGCGGTCCCATAAACTGCGAAAAAACAACCACCATCTTTTTACCAGTGAGTGTCGCAAGGCCTCTTTCGTGTTGGGGCAGCAGCATGTGGGCCAGAGCGCTGTGTCACCTCAACACTGAGACCTCTGTCCCTTGGCCTGTGAGGCTGCCCTGGGCGGTGCAGGCACCTGGGGAGAAAAGACCACAGGGCCGGGGTCTGTCCTCAAACCCCATCTTCCAGCGGCCCAGCGATGGCGCGTAAGGCTGGCAGGTCCAGTGACTCCGACTGTGGGCAGTTGCCGAGCTGTAAACTAACATCATCCATTTATTTTCCAGCCACAATTAACTTGAATTCAATGAACGACGGCTGGTACGGTGCGCTGAAGGAAGCCATTCAGCAGCAGCAGAACCAGCTGGTTTGGGTCTCAGAGGGAAAGGTAAGACGTTTCCTGTCGTCTCATCTTCTAGCCCGCTCTCTACCTGACGTAACTAATCAGAGGCCTCCGAGCTACTCTGTTTTCTAGTGCGCCTGGTGTTATCTTTTGTGTGGAGGGCTTATGCGAGTTGTTTTTGGTGGCAAGATATTCCGAAATTCTCCCAACTATTGACTTCCCACTTCAGTGGTGTTTCCTCAAAAGCCCCCTTAAATATGACTAATGGGCACGGCGGGGTCCTATCTCTGTCACTATCTCACCGGGGAAGGGCTTTGAACCTGGCCTCCCTCCTGTGAAAGAGGGGAGGCGGGTGGCCACAAGAGCATCCCCCAAACGCTGTCCTCAGCACAGGACCTTCAGGACTCGCTGAGAGGACAGAGGTCCCTCTGAGGGCCAGGGGTGGGAGGGCACGGTCTCCAGGGCCTGCTAGACTGACAGGTGCGCTGCCCCGTCCACGCCTGTTTCTGCTGTCACTCTTCCTGGTGTGACGTCTTTCACATGTGGGAGAGGTCTGTTGTTCTGGTGGGAGAGCTGATGTTTGTTCACAGTGGACAGTGCAGAGAACTTTGTGATTTCAGTGTCTTCTACCTCCAGACGAATGCCACCCGAATCATCTGTTCTGGTTGCTAGGGGAGGTTGTGAACATCTGTTTTTTATTTTGTTCTCCATATTCTCCATCAGCTTGGGCTGTGTTGTGCCTGCCCCTGCATGGCCCCTCCCGCCTGGCTGTGATGCAGATGCTTGGCCATGCATGCTGCATGCTCCAGGCCTAGCCTGGCCCCCACCCAGGACACCCAGCCCGCAGTGCAGCGGCTAACACGCTCCCGAGGGGCCGGTGCTGCTGCCCCCACTGCCCAATGCAGAGAGCCTGTCAGGGCCCTCCCACTCCGCACCGCTCGCTGGGGCCATGGGGCCAGGTCATTCTGTGAAGAGCTAACACGAAGCTGGGACCCCTGAGCCACCGCCTGGCAGCCGCCACTTCACTAACCTCCTCTGCCCGCTCTCCGGGGCAGCACGCCCTGCTGGCGCCCTCTGTCGGCCAGACTGCACTGGTGGTTCTGGGATGGGATTAGCTTGGCAATGCAGAGCGCACTGTCTTTCTACCTGAGAGGTTAAATCCTCAGCTCCCTTTCATCTCTGTCCTTCCTCTTTGTTTCCTTTCTTTGCTTGGATTTCAGAGTAAAGGCCTAACTCCCACTCCCCCAACTTCTTATGTGAGGAAAGTAGGCTCTTTGTTATCAGGATGGATTGCTGCGTTCGGTAAATGAGAGTGGTTACAACTTAGATCAAGTTTGATTTATCCTCCTCCTCCGTTTCCCTCCCAGCGTGTTTCATCGGAACGATCCTGCAGCACTCCTGCACCGGCCTCACGGGGCCCTCCTGCCTGGGGTGCTTGCGATTGAGTCCCAGGTGTCCTTCCCCCGGCCTTCCCCCTCCCCCGGCCGCTGCTGGGCTCCAGCCCTCAGCCCTGCAAGGTCAAGGGCACTGCGGAGGGCAGGGAGACTGCTCTTCTTCAGCAGCACAGAGAGGGAGCCTGAGGTTCGGGGGGCAGACCCTGCCGGACATGACTCCTGTCTGGAGCCTCCTGGAACCCAGCACCCTCGTCGTCCCACCAGAAGACAGTGCAGGCCCGGCTCTTCTGTAACAGGTGGCTCCGCCGCTCGTTTGTCCTGGGCGTGGACGAAAGATTGTCTGACTTATGGGTTCCACACCCTTCGGCGCTCATGCTAACTGTGCACTGCGTCCAGGCAAGAAGACTCTTCCGTTTAGTCAGTCCAATGCTGAGGTCTGGTCCAGTCCAGCCTGTCGGTGCCGCTCTCACCTCCTTTCTCAGGCACCTCTCCTCCTCCTCAGGCGACAGCGCCCTCGATCTTGGTTACTTGTTAAAGAGAGTCCAGCTGCGTTCCTCCCGTACCATCCGCGGGTGCTCCTCTTTGAACCATAAAGGAAGACGTGTAGGGACAGCCGGTCCTTAGTGATGCTTTCCCTGGTGTTGTATAGAAGCTTAAGCTCTGCCTGGCTGGTGTGGCCCAGCGGTTGAGCATCGACTTATGAATCAGGAAGTCAGGGTTCAATTCCTGGTCAGGGCACATGCCTGGGGTTGTGGGCTCCATCCCCAGGAGGGGGTGTGTAAGAGGCAGCCAATCAGTGATTCTCCTCTCTGTCACTTCTATCTATCCCTCCGTTCCTCTCTGAAATCAGTAGACATATTTAAAACATAATAGAAGAGGCTTAAGCTCTTCCTCCACTTCCTGGCTGTTCTCACGCACTGTCCTGTCGGTGTGTCCCTGTGTGAACATGGTCTAGCAGCACCCTCCTCCTCCCCCTTGCTTTGGGCTGACGTGCTGGTAACTGACTGGGCTTAGGAACCCTTCCTTGTCTTCCGGGCTGGGCCTCAGAGGCCAGCTCCATCCTGATTGGCCAGCGACATTCCCTTTATCCAGGCCCTCAGGTCTCCGGTGCTGTGTGTCTGCATGTGCGCATGTGCAGTCTTCTTGGCCTGTCTGCAGCGGAAGTGTCGAGAGCTCGGTGTGATTTCTTCAAAGCCCGATCCCTTCCAGCCTCCCTCCCTCCAGGATACTGAGTAAAACTTGTAATTTACTTTCATTTGACCCAGGCGGATGGTGCTACCAGTGACGACCTTGACTTGCATGACGATCGCCTGTCCTACCTGTCAGCCCCAGGTAGCGAGTACTCAATGTATAGCACGGACAGTAGACACACTTCTGACTATGAAGACACAGACACAGAAGGCGGGGCCTACACTGATCAAGAACTAGATGAGACTCTTAATGACGAGGTGGGGACCCCCCCAGAGTCCGCCATTACCCGGTCCTCTGAGCCCGTAAGAGAGGACTCCTCCGGGATGCATCACGAGAACCAGGCATTTCCTCCTTACTCACCACAAGCGCAGCCTCAGCCCGTCCATAGAATAGACTCCCCCGGATTTAAAACAGCCTCTCAACAGGTAAGCGGCACGCATCCCACGGTGCGCAGATAGGGTGCGTTGTTGGATATGAGGATGGTGGTTGAGTTGAAGAATACGTTCTCTCCTGGCTGGTGTGGCTCAGGGTTTGAGTGTCAACCTATGAACCAGGAGGTCACGGTTCGATTCCCGGCCAGGGCTCATGCCTGGGTTGTGGGCTCCATCCCCAGTAGGTGGCGTGCAGGAGGCAGCTGATCCATGATTCTCTCTCATCATTGATGTTTATCTCTCTCTCCTTCTCCCTTCCTCTCTGAGATCAATAGAAATATATTTTTCCAAATTAAGAAGTAATTTTTAACTTCAAGTTGAGAATACCAAGGACTTAATTCTGTGTGTGCTCATCTGACACAGCAGTACACTGAGCTTCGTCTTAGCGTCTTAGCTTTGTTACTGTGCATGTTAGCGATGTGTGTCTTCAGCCACGCTGCACCGAGGTAGGAAGCTGGCAGCGACCAGCAGCGCTATTAAAGTATCTCAAACCTTCACAGACAGCAGACGCCTCATCTCCAGACCCTTCCCTTTCGCCCGAACCAAACCCAGCACCGCCTACCTCTGCTGTCAATCACAGTGTCAAGTTCACTCATGTCAGAATGGAGGCGCCCACCCCTCCCGCCTCTCACTCCCCACCAGCTGACTCTTGGCTAACACCCAGGGCCGAGGCCGCCCACACCCTGCTCAGGGACCACGGAGCCGCACTGCCGTCGCATGTAGACCCACCACAGGTACCGGGCGCGGTGCCCACGCCTGCTCCTCCCAGTCCCTCTGCTTCGTCCCCGGCCACACACAGCGCTTCCGGCAGCAGCAGCCTTCCGTCCGGTGTGCATGGCTTCCGGTGGCATGTGGCTCATTGCGGGATAGGCCTGTCATTGCCATTTTTTGCTTTATATTTTTTTTATTCTTATTTTGGGGTTTTCCGTGTCTTCCAGAATTCCTTACTATGCAATGGAGACCCCTCCTAGGCATTTTTCTGTTTTATAAATCATGGTGTGTGCCAATTTTCTTTGTGATTTTCATTTTCAGTGTCCAATCAAGGGGAATGAATGGTTCGGGGTGCTGCTTACCTTTCTCTAATTGGAATAATTAATGCAGTGTTTGTTTATTAGCTCAGGCGGGCAGGGAAAGCCCCCTGCACTGCACCTGTTGAGCTCTCTCGGAAACTGGCTTCTCCCCTAATCTCTCCCCCTGGTCGTAACCAGTGGGCAGGCCGCTTACGGAGCTGCAGTTAAAGCGATGGGAGACAGGCCTGTGCCCTTACCCCGGCTCTTGTGTGCAGGTGTACCGGAAGGACCCCTACCCCGAGGACGTGATCCGGCAGAATCACGTGGTGAAGCAGCCAGCTGGGGGGCACCCCGCGCTGAGGCCCGACAGGGACCCCAAACCCAGCTACGAGCCCCATGCCCCGTATGTGGAGAAGCAAGCCGGCAGGGACCTGGAGCAGCCCGCGTACAGATACGACCCCGCGGGCTACGCAGACCAGTTCTCGCGGCCCGGGGACCACCGCCTGCGCTACGAGGAGCGCATCCCCGCCTACGAGGAGCACTGGTCCTACTACGAGGACAAGCAGCCCTACCAGCCGCGGCCCGCTGACACGCAGCACCCCCGGGACCTGGACCCCAGGCAGCACCCCGAAGAGCCCTCGGAGCGGGGCTACTTCCCGAGGTTCGAGGAGCCAGCCCCTCTGCCCTACGACGGCAGGCCCCGCTACGACCAGCCGCCCCGGACCTCCGCCCTGCGGCACGAGGAGCCCCCGGCTCCCGGGTGTGAGGTGCACGGCAGGTACAGGCCCGAGGCGCCGCCCCCCGCGGGCCCCCAGGCCCCGGAGCCCAAGCAGTGTTACGAGCAGTACCCACGGGGCTACGAGCAAGTCCCCGCACAAGGCTTTACCTCAAAGGCAGGCCGCTACGAGCCGCTCCACGGTGCTGCGCTGGTGCCTCCGCTCGCGCCTGCCTCTCAGCACAAGCCGGACGTGCCGCCGCCCAGCACCAAGCCCCTGCCGCCGCCCCCGGCCCCCGCCGAGGAGGAGGACCCGGCCATGAAGCCCCAGTCCGTGCTCACCAGGGTGAAGATGTTTGAGAACAAGAGGTCTGCGTCCTTGGACAACAAGAAGGATGAGAACCACACCGGCTTTAAGGTAAAGATGGGACTGTCGTGTGTGTGTGTGTGTGTGTGTGTGTGCGCGCGTCCGTCCGTCGTCCCCCCGCAGCCTGCTGTGTCGTGATCTGTTCCGGGCGTGTTTGTCTCATTTTTGCAGCCTCCAGAGGCAGCGTCCAAACCACCAGGGCCTCCCGTCGTCGGACCTAAAGCCACTCTTCAGAGTCAGTTCAGCGAACACGACAAGACCCTGTACAGGTGGGGGCACGTGCTGGGGGGGAGTGGAGCTGGCCCGGCAGAGGGCCCTCTTGGGCAGGGAGCCAGCCTTAGTGTGGGGGGAGGAGGAGGGAGACCTTCTGTCTGTCCTTGAATGGACTGCACCGTCTGACTGAAACGGTGGCCCCGACAGAAAGGAAAGATCTTGGTTGGTTCCATCTCCTTTTCTCTAAATAATCTTTTTAACCTGCTGTGAGGCCTCTGATCAGATCGTTGTCAAGCTTAGTAGATGGTATTGAACCCATGGGCCGGAAGCGGCTGCCTTTTGAGCCTCGTGTGTGAAGCTGTGGGAGGGAAAACATCCATGTTGGCTGGGCTGCTCAGCAGTCACCGAAGGTCGCGGTCAGCCATTTCCAGGCCCCGTGTCCTGGTGACATCGCCACCTACAAGGTTGTCCCACTTGCCGTTCATTGTCAGGATCCCAGAACCGCAGAAGCCTCAGCCGAAGCCCCCGGAAGACATTGTCCGGTCCAACCACTACGACGCCGAGGAGGATGAAGAGTACTACCGGAAACAGCTCTCCTGCTTCGACCGGAGGCGTTCTGACAAGCCTGCTGCACACATCCCCACGGGCCACCTCCCGGAGCCGGCCAAGCCCGCTCACCCCCAGCACCCGCCAGGCCTTTCTGGTTATTCCGCCAAGTAAGTCGTCAGGCCCGACACTTACCTTTGGCGAGGGAGGGGCCACAGAAGGCTCGATGGAGCAGCGGAGCCATCTTGGGAAGCTCCGTGCCTCTGGAAGGCGATGGCGGAGTGTGTGGTGCACACTCTCAGCAGCCTCCGGCGGGCCAGCACGGGCACGCTTTCTAGCTGGGGGCACTGCGTTTGCCTCTGTCCTTTACCTCTCAGAGCAGAAGCAGGAAGTGTTTGCATTAGGAGAGGTGTTAACATCAAAGGTAAGAAAGGATGGCTGAACCATAAGAGTTTCAGAGAGGAAGGGAGAGGGAGAGAGAGAGAAACATCAGTGATGAGAGAATCATGGATCGGCTGCCTCCTGTACGCCCCACACTGGGGATGGAGCCTGCAACTCGGGCATGTGCCCTGACTGGGAATCGAACCTCCTGGTTCCTAGATCGACACTCAACTTTTTTTGTAAGCGAACCTTTATCTGGTACAATCACTGAGGTAGAAGAAGTAACGCCTAGCGGAAATGAGCTTAGGGAACAAGGTATGGAGGAAGGGCCGTGGGAGTGAAGGAGCCAGTGGTAGCGTGCCCGGGTCGGGGAAGGGAGGGGAAGGCTGGCGCCGGGAGGGAGAGCGCCTTGGTGGATATTTATAAATGACATTTGAGTTCCATTTGCTGCAGACTGCTGAGTTAGATTGACCATTTTCTTTCGTTTTTCTGTTGCGCTTGCTTGGCCATCCCTAGATTTCTTGGCTCTTACCCTAGCTATGACTACTTGAGAAGGAGCGTCAAGTGGTAAGCCTGGCGTCCACGTGAGGCTGTTCCATCAGGTGTGCCTCCCCGTCCTTGGCGTTATGTGCACTTCCAGATTCGAACGCATCCTCAAACGCTCGTGTCAGTGCGGAGAGCAGGCTAGCGGCTCAGCTTTAAAGCTGAGGTCCAGCGGGAGTCAGATCCCTTGACATGTCTGTTGGGGGTGCACATAATGCCAGGCAGCCGGCTCTGCGAAGGTGTGGATGGCGGCGTGCCCGCGATGGGTCTCGGCAGGGTTTCTCCTGTGTGCGTTCTCTGTGTCCCCGTGAACAACGGCAGCCGGAGCAAATACGCGTGCGCAGCACAGTCTGACTTCAGTGAGAGCGCAGGATCTGATCCCCTAGCTGTTAGCAAAGGTGGATCTGAGGTCGAGGGCCAAGTTTAAAGTGAACGGTGCCATTCCCTCTGCCCTGGAGCAGCCACACTTGCTCGCTGACCTGGTGCCTCTGCCCTCAACAGGCCGAGTCTGCAGAGTTGTCCCTGAGACCGATGGCCCAAAGCCAAAAGCACTCACTGTGCAGCCCCCGCTGAAGGAGAGGCTGGCTCCATGTGTGCATCATTTCGGGGCACACCGGACTGGCCTTGGCTCTCGGATATGAAATCAGAAATGAGCCTAAGGAAGATCTTGGCCTGTGAATATTTTTAAAAACATTTGCAAGACATGTTTAAATTGCAAACAGAGTGAGCTAGTCCACGTGTACCCAGAATCCCATTTGCCTCTGGTTGCCATCGCCTGGGTGTTTCCCTGCAGTGCCTGTGTGTCTGCATCCCGTGTGCTGGTGAGCGGGGGGATTTGTTTGCCTATTTTTCTGGAGGAGCTGCCATACTCCTAAGAGCACATCATGAAGTTTGTAGATAAAAAAAGCCTAGCAATGCGTGGAGAAGGAAAATGTGTTTTGTCCGTGTTCAGGTGTTGGCATTGTCTTCATCTCTTCACAGGAGCAAGTCCGTTGACGCTGATGCCTTCGGCGACAGACGCTATGACCCCGTCCAGCCCACGCCACCCCCACCCCCGCTGCCCGCCCAGTACTCGCAGCCTCCGCAGCCCAGCTCCAGCTCCATGCTCCACGCCCACGCTAAAGGAACCCACGGGGAAGGTAGGACGCCCAGAAGATGGCAGCACCCCTATTAATTCTCATAAAACTAAATTCTCTCCTCGAAGCACGTCATTTTTCTTGTAAGAAATACATAGCCCAGCCGGTGTGGCTCGGGTTGAGCGTCGACCTAGGAACCAGGAGGTCATGGCTCGATTGCCGGTCAGGGCACACGCCTGGGTTGCGGGCTCTGTCCCCAGTGTGGGACTTGCAGGAGGCAGCCGATCTGTGATTCTCTCTCATCATGGATGTTTCTCTCTCTTTCTCTCCCTTCCTCTCTGAAATCAATAACATAAAAAATTTTTAAAGTTTTAAAAATAGCTGTGTGTGTTTTTTTCCAGGTAACTCGGTGTCATTGGATTTTCAGAATTCTTTAGTGTCCAAACCAGAACCTCCTCCATCTCAGAACAAGCCAGTCGCTTTCAGAACGATGAGCCGCGAGGACCCTGCTCAGCCTGCCTTCTACCCCCAGAAAAGCTTCCCGGATAAGGCGCCCGTGAACGGCACCGAACAGCCTCAGAAAACGGTCGCCCCGACCTACAACCGCTTCACCCCCAAGCCCTACACCAGCTCCGCGCGGCCATTTGAGCGCAAGTTTGAAAGCCCGAAGTTCAGCCACAACCTTCTGCCGAGTGAAACTGCTCACAAGCCTGACTTGTCTTTGAAAGTCCCGACCTCTCCCAAGACCCTGGTGAAGGCCCAGCCTCCCGAGTTTGACAGCGGAGTGGAGACCTTCTCCATCCACGCCGAGAAGCCCCGGTACCACGTGAACAGCGTCAGCACCGGACCCAGAGCCGCTCCCGGGAGGTAAGAGCGCCCTCCTCCGGCCCCGTGATCTGTCAGACAGGAGTTGGCGGCTGCTTAGCTGATTTGGGACTTCACATGATCGTTTTAGCTCAAACTTGAACCTGGGTACTGGTTTTTGTTTTTTGTTTTTTAATATAATTATATTAATTTCAGAGAGGAAGCAACAGGGAAAGAGAGTTAGAAACATGAACGATGAGGGAACCATTGATTGGCTGCCTCCTACAGGCCTCCCACTGGATATCAAGCCTGCAACCTGGGCATGTGGCCTGGACCAGACTCAACCCTGGGACCCTTCTAGTCCACAGGCTGATGCTCTATCCACTGAGCCACACCAGGTAGAACCTCAGCACTATTGACCAAAACGTTGCCATGAATGCTATCATGCAAGAGGCACAAGAAATCATGAAGCTGATGGTCCCCTGTGGCCAGTAGGCCTTTTCCTTAGCCCACTTTTACCTGGGACTGAGTCGAGTGTCATTACCGTGTGCCCACGGTTGTACAGCTGCGGTGTGGGTAGCGTAGATCCAGCTATTCTCTTACCAGCCATGGCTTCCTGTGACCCCAGAAACAGCGGCATCCATGTTCCTCAGCCACTGTTCCCTCAGCAATGATGTTAAAAAAAAACAAAGGTGGCCCTGGCCTGTTTGGCTCAGTGGATAGAACATCAGCCCGTGGACTGAAGGGTCCCGGGTTTGATTCCAGTCAAGGGCTCATGCACCTTTGTTGCTGGCTCGATCCTTCGCCCTGGGAGTCACATCGGGCCACTCCCTGGTGGCGGGAAGGGAAACGGTGCAGCCCGTGTAGGGTGGGAGTGGACTCACGTGCGTTTCTGAATCAGCCCGTCGGCAGTGGAGGAGGACAATGACGAGGATGGCCACACCGTGGTGGCCACGGCCCGGGGCGTGTTCAGCAGCAACGGCGGGGTGCTGAGCTCCATCGAGACGGGCGTCAGCATCATCATCCCCCAGGGAGCCATCCCAGAGGGCGTGGAGCAGGAAATCTACTTCAAGGTCTGCCGTGATAACAGCATCCTCCCGCCCCTCGACAAGGAGAAAGGTAACGGCCTTCTCACTCCGGGAGAGGACTGCTGGGCCCTCTGCTGCCCCACACTGGCCAAGCAGAGCTGCTCCTTCGTCAGCGTGCCCGCCCGCTGTCCCGGCTCGCGGTGTCCCGCAGCGAGGCCACGGGTCTGCGCCTTCCACTCAGCATGCTCACTTCCTGCGTGGCAGGCCATTGGGCGCCCTCCTCCTGTCTGCCGGGCGTCTCCACGCCTGTCTTCGAGTCATTCCTTCCCTCGTGCATCTCTAGAGACGGGGGAGGGAGCACCCACACAGCCAGGCTTTGCTCGGTGCCGTCGCCTGCTGGGACAGCTCTGCCTCCCACCTGGGCCCAGCACCAGCAGACATCAGCAGGGAGGGAGTGCCCTGTCCGGTGCGACAGTCCACATTTGGGGCTCCTTAAGGAATCGGGTGCTGCTGTCCTCCGTCTTCCCGCATTTGTCGGTGCCGGGATGATCAGACACGGCTCCTCTTAGCGCCTTTGAGCAGAGCTCCCTGCCGGGCTCGCATCCTGTCCCTCACTTCCCAGCATCTGGCCACAGTGCTAGCGCGTGGTGGCCCTGCCTGAGCCCCACACCAGTCTGTGGCATTGCAAACTCAGGAAGGAATGTGCATGTCCCTTACACTGAAGAACCTGTGCCCGCCTGCAGGAGACGGGCTACTTGGAGTTAAAATGTGCTGGGAGTGCCACACGTGGTTTCCCAGATTTAGTGGATTGGTGACATGGCGATGTGATTTGGGGATACACTGGGTTAAGTCGCTGCCAGAACACGTAGAACTACCTGGGTGGCTCCCGTTCCGTTTCCTTAGCGCCGCTGTAGAGAGCTAAGCAGGTAGCTTGTCATTAATACTATCAGAAGGTACGGAGAATCGGGGTGCAGAGGCAGACAGCCACCTAACCTCTCCCCCTCCAGGTGAGACCCTGCTGAGCCCGCTGGTGATGTGTGGGCCCCATGGCCTCAAGTTCCTGAAGCCCGTGGAGCTGCGCCTGCCACACTGTGCGTCCATGACTCCTGACGGTTGGTCTTTTGCTCTAAAATCATCCGACTCCTCGTCGGGTACGCTCCTTCACTCTGTCCTTTGGGGCTTTGGGACTGTCATTGATTAACCTGGGGCTGAGGGCAAACCTTTGTACTGCATCGACTAAATGAGCAGGGAAGGCAGAGAGGTGTCTGCCTTTCAGCCATTGATGATTGGCCAAAGGGGGACTTTCTTGATGGCAGCAAAATGATGTCTTTTGTCAAAATTGTTAAGATGGGAGGCCTGGCTGGGCTGCTCAGCTGGTGGAGCGTCGTCCTGTAATGAAGGTTGCAGGTTTGATTCCCGGTCAGGGCACATGCAAGAATCAACCAATGAAGCTTGATTAAGTGGGACAACAAATCAATCTCCCTCTCTCTCTCTCTCTCTCTCTCTCTCTCTCACTCACTATCACTTTCTCTCCCTCTTCCCCGTTCCTCTCTCTCTAAAAAATAAATACATACATACATAAATAAGTAAATAACTTCTTTAAGGTGCATTGGGAGAATTGATGTTATCCTACATATGCAGGCATTTTCACCTTCTTACTAAAATGATTTGACTCCTTTTATATGATTTCTATTTTGGGTCACTGTTATTTAGTTTTTCAACCCTCAACGCATGTGTAACAGGAACCTGAAAGACCCCCGTCCACACTGCTTTTAAATGGATTTGTGTTAGGGTCCTAATTGCAAAGCTCCCATTGTATACTCACGTTTCTCACTTCCTTGGGCGACTGGTCAGTTACCAGTTGGAACTTTGTGTATTTGGGGTTTGGTCATTTTACTTGATCCTGATCTAGAAAAATAAGAATGTCTAGTCCTGCTTCTGAATTTTTGGTAAACCTGGTGAGTATTATGAGTATCTTATTAAAGTAGTTTCATTGCTAGCTTTACCCAGTGGCCAGATAAGTTTCCAGTGAAGGAGTAAAAAATGTTTTACATAAATATTAAAGGCACACTTTGAAATTACCCATTGCATTTTGAAATTACTTATTACATGTTCCTACAAGCTAATATCTTTTTAAAGTATGATGCTTTGTAAAACACTGTGTAATATGAAGCGAGAATTCTCATGGTCTGTCCACAGTGTGTTAATTATCATAGTTTCAGGTTATAATCTAGTGGGTCAGCATTTCTATACCTTCCCGTGTGTTCACGCCACAGACTTGAGGCGTCGTCTGGTTTGGGTATAAATGCAGCATGATAAGGACATAGAAGGAAACTGTATGTAAACATGTGTGTCTGTTAGCCTGTGGTTGCAAAGCGTTGTGACTAGTGACTCTGGATGACGTGAGCTTGCTTCCCTCACAGGTGACCCTAAGACCTGGCAAAACAAGTGTCTTCCTGGAGATCCCAACTACCTGGTGGGAGCCAACTGCGTGTCTGTCCTGATCGACCACTTCTGATTCCGGAACAGGCCCAGGCTGTTGTCTCGGAGCCTGGGCTGGACTTCTCTCTGAGCAGAACCACTCTCCCCAGTATTACACGTCCCCGAGGCTGCTGTGTGGGCCTGCGGAGCGCTTTGCCTGAACTGCAGGCTGTGCCGGAAGAACGGGCCTCGGCGAGGGTTCACAGACGTTGGCTTCGTAATGATGACTGTACTTCCCGTGGTCACTGCTTCACTTCACACACTGATTTCCGTTAAAATTCCAGCCAGGAAGGGGTGCATCTGAGTTCTGTTCTTTTCAAAGTACGCGGTTTCCCATTTGACGGTGGCCCTGGCCTGGCGCGCACGTTATGTTGTTATGCATGGGGTAACAGGCACACATCTAAATGCACCTGGGATAGAACACGTGTGGTGGACTGAACAGGTGGACAGCCAGCGGATTGGCTGTCCATGAAAACATGCTTCTTGGGGAAGGGCACCAAAGCACGTGCCTGTGCCGGGCCTCTGGATCTCGAATTAACCACGTCACCGACACACTAACCAGCAGGAATGCCTTACCTCCTGTACCTAATCCTCGGTCGTCTCTGTGTAGGCTAGGTCGCCATGGCTTCTGGGTGCATCCCGACACTGAATCATGACACGGTGGAGCAGATTGTAGGGGGCGGCTGCAGGAGCGTGCGGTCACCCAGAAGGGAATGATGGTGTGATTTGGGGGTTTTGGGGGGCAAGGGGCAGTGGTAGCTTTGTTTCTTGTTTCTTTGTCTTTTTCTTTTTGGCTATGCGTTCAAAAATTTTGATGTTTTAAGGATGCTTGTACATAACGCGTGCATACCACTTTTGTTCTTGGTTTGTACATTAACTTTTATAAACTTTCCCTTTTTTTATACATAAACAAAACCAAGTTTCTTAAGGCTACCTTTGTATTCTCTCCTGTACCTCTTGAGCCTTGAACTTCGACCTCTGCAGCAATAAAGCAGCATTTTTATGACACACACAAGGTCATTTTTTTAAAGAAAAATGCACAGAGTTGTTACATTTTTAAGTGCTGCATTTAAAAGATACAGTTACTCAGAATTCTCTAGTTTGATTAAACTCTTGCAAAATCCCCCTCCTGTAATTTGTGATACACTGCTGTGCCCTAAAGTGTATTTTTGTACTAATAGACGATTTATTACGGCACATCAGCACGACTTCCGTTTGGATAATACACCACTACATTCTGTTAACCATTAGGTGTGACTGGATTTCTTTTGCGGTTATTAAAAAAAAAAAAAGTCTCAAATTTCTAAATCTGCAGAATAAAACTTTTAAAATAAAGTGCTGGCTTGGTCTGTTGGCTCACTGTTTGTGGATTCGTGCAGCTTTGTAAGTCTTTTTAAATCCACAGGAGGCCTGGTGGGTGGGGGTGGCGCGTGTCCCCGTGCCCAGAGGGTCCTGTGGAGATGGAGCAAGAGGAGAAACGTGACCCCGAGAGCGTCCCATGTGTCTATCAATGTACATGCGTGTGTTGGTGTGTATCTGTGCTCCCTAGAGCCTACTGCAGGGCCCGTCTTGGGAAGGGAGCCCAAATGTCGGGTACAATTGGGTGACACTGAGCTCATTCTCATGGTTGTGCCGCCATCCTCAGCACCATCCATCCACAGAACCCTCATCTTCCCTAACTGAGACTGCCCCCTTCAAACAGTCACCCCCTCCCCGCCCCACCTCCCTCCCTGTGGCCTCTTGTACTCTCTGTGTCTATGAACGGGACTACTATAGGCACCTCACCTAAGTGGACTCCTATAGGATCTGACCTGTCACCGGCTTATCTCCCTCAGCACGGGTCCACATTTCCTACCTTTTTACGACACCACGTTTTGCTTCTCCACTCATCCGTGGATGGACCCGTGGCTTATTCCCACCGATTGGCTATTGTGTGCTACACGGCTTTACCCACGGGAGTGCAGATACCCCCGAGTCCCTGTTTCCCGACCTTGGGGACAGACACAAAAGTGGAATTCCTGGATCTGTAAGGATCATATAATTCTATGTGTCTTTTTTTTTTTTTTTTTGAAACACTGTATTGTTTTCCATGGTGCCTTGGTGCTTAGAGAGCCTTTGGTTGGAGGTGTGAATAAATGAATGAATAAGGTGACTATGGGGAGACGGAAACTTCCTGGCATTTGGGGGGGATCTTGCTCTGGCACTGTTCCAAGCTCTGCGACTTTCTAGAGAACGTCTCCAGGAAACGTTATTACAGATATGAATGTGGATGTTTTCTATGACTTTATGCGCCAGCACTCTAAAGGATGCCTGAAGGGGCTCCGTCCTGCGAGAGATAAGAACCAGAAGAGAAAGCAGCACTGGCGGCAGGCCAGCGTTTTGAGGTCAGCCACTTTATCGGCGGTGGTGTTCCCCACCCCCTGTGCGTCCCCTTGGCCATCCCATTAAATTGGAAAATGGATCCCATCCCCGCTAAGGTGTTGGCTGATAAAGGCTTGAGCTATGGCCCCTTCCAGGGGAATTTGCATTTTAATAGAGGCTCAGCAAGCCCCAAAGGAATCGATATCTCTAATGGTGAAATTTCAAGCATCTGGGAGGCCCTGCACCGCATTTTCTTATCCAACTGGGGGTCTCTCTCCAATCTCCCACAGGCTGTGGGGGCGTAACCCACCATTTCCCATTAGCGCGTTGCCTTTTTATGCCTGCTCTCTTCAGACTTCTTAACACGCCTGGGTCTCGTAACATATCAACACAGCCTTTTCCTACACGGGGTGGTCTAAATGGTCACCCCACCCGGTCGAAGGCGAAATAGGACCATCAAAACTTGCCAACTTTCTCGGTATTCCAAGGAAGGCGGCGATAATCAGGTATATTTACAACCTTAACCTGGCAGAAGGGAGTGGAGATGATTTAATAGGTCCTTTTTAAAAAAAAAATGTATTTTTTCATTGATTTCAGAGAGGGAGAGAGAAACATCCATGATGAGAGACAATCATGGCTCGGCTGCCTCCTGCACACCCCCTACTGGGGATCGACCCTGCAATCTCCGCATGTGCCCTGACCAGGAATCCAACCTGGACCTCCTGGTTCCTAGGTCGTCGCTCAGCCATTGAGCCGCACCAGCCGGGCTTGACAGGTCCTTAAATTCGTTTTGTGCGGTCCGTGTTACACCCAAACTTTCCACTTGGATCCAGAGCCTTGCAAATGAGAGGTGGGTTTCAGACCTCCGTTATTGCGGGGCTGGGGGTGTTTTCCATGCGATAATAATGCCTTCCGGGCCGGGTCCTCGGGGGGAAGCTGGCCGGGGTCCCTCTGCCACTGCGGCAAAGGCAAAGCGGCGCCTGGCATCTCGCCATTGCGCTCGGGGAGGCTGCTCGCAGCCGCCAACGCCTGGGACAGATGCGTTTGGAAATACTGATCACACCTGCGCTCCCCACCGGCCCGGCGGTCTCTAAGGACGCCCCTAACCCGACCCGCACCGCCAAAGGCGCGCACCCAGGCTCTGCCCGTGCGCCCCGACCCCGGGAGGCGGCTGCCCTCGCCCTTGACGCGCCACTTCCATCCTGGCGACCCGAAAGCTCCCGCGGCCGCACCTGCGCCTGCGCGCTCCCGGCCCCAGCGCGCGCGGCTCCCAGGACAGACCGGCTCTCGCGCACGCGCGCACGCACACGCACGGGCCGGGCAGCGCACGCGCACGCGCACACGCTCGGGCCGGGCAGCGCACGCGCACGCGCGCGGGGAGCGCGCAGGAGGCGGCGGGAGAGGGCGCAGCGCGGCGCGCCGGGCGGCGCTGTGCGGCGCGGCGGCGGCGGCGGCGGCGGCGGCATGGACGCGGGCACCGGCTGGGGCTGCGGGCGCCCGGCTCCCCGCCCGCGGCCGCCGCACCCCCCGCGGCCCGCAGCGAGGCCGCCCCCGCGCCCGGCGCAACTTGCCGCCTCAGACGCGCGCTGAGGAGGCGAGGCGAGGCGGCGGCGGCGCGATGCCTCCTCCGGCCGGCGGTGCCCGCGCGCTGCCCCGCAGCCTGTCCCGCCTGCGCCCGTGCCCCGGCCGCTCGCGCGTGGTGCTGGCGCTCGGGGCCACGCAGATGGCGCTCGGCTGCCTCATCGTGGCCGTGAGCTTCGCCGCGCTGGCGCTCACCACGTCGGCCCGCGTCCGCCACTCGTGCCCGTTCTGGGCCGGCTTCTCGGTGAGTGTCCGCGGCCGCGCGCGCGCGGGGGGGGGGGGGGCGGGACTGACTTCCCAACTCCCGGGCGCGCAACTCCGGGGACCCTCCCACCCCGCACCCCGCACCCCGCACCCCGCCTCCGTCCGAGCGTCCTTCCGCTTCCCCTTCCCCTTCCCCGCCGCGGAGCCGCCGTTACTTTCCGGAGAGGAGCCGGCCTGTGCGCCCTGACCGGCATTCGCCTCTGCCCTGACCCCGCACCCCGACCCCGACCCCGACCCCGATCCGCACCCCCTTCAGCCAAGCGGCTGCCACGGGCCGGGGACGGGCTGGGCGTGGGGCTGAGGGTTCAGCCGGGGCAGGGAGGCTCGGGGCGCGGGGACCCGGCGTTTCCCGCGTCCGCAGCCGCCGCCCCCCCCCCCCCCCCCCCGCAGCCTGGCGTCCCGGGGCCCCGTTTTCTGAGACCGGTTTTCAGGCGGTTTGATTCCCCCATAAACGAAGCCTCCGTAGGACATCGCTCTCCAGGGCTTGTCTCCAAGAGTGGGGTAGTTTGGCCATTTTAAAAGCCTTATGGTGAAAGTTGCCCCTCCGCCCCCTCTCCCCAGCCCCATCCCCATCCTCATCCTCACCACCAGCCCCAAATTTCAAAAAGAGAGTGGACCACCCAGCTGGCAGGGCTCAGTGGTTGAGCATTGACCCTATGACCCAGGAGATCAGGGTACGTGCCCAGGTTGCAGGCTCCATCCCCAGTAGGGGGCGTGCAGGAGGCAGCTGATCCGTGATTCTCTCTCATCATGGATGTTTCTCTCTCTCCCTCTCTCTCTCCCTTCCTCTCTGCAATTATATATATATATATTTTTTTTTTAATTTATTTTTTTTAAGAGTGGACCCATGGAAACAGGACAAATATACGCAGCCCCTATATATTTATTTGTAAAGAGAGGCAGGCACTTCTGAGAACTCTTGGCATCTGTGGCCGGCCGCCTTGGGGTTTAGGCATAAGGATCCACTCAGTGTATGTTTTATTTTGTGTGTGTGTGTTTTAAAAATATTTTTGTTGATTTAAGAGAGGAAGAGGGAGAGAGAGAGAAAAAGAGAGAGAAAAAAATCCATGATGAGAGAGCATCATGGATCAGTTGCCTCCTGCATGCCCCCACTGGGGATCTAGTCCACAACCCAGGTACATGCCCTTGACTGGAATCGAACCCAGGACCCTTCAGTCTGCAGGCTGACGCTCTAGCCACTGAGCCAAACCAGCCAGGGCCATGCAGTATGTTTTTTGATTCCACCTCGGGGAAATCCAAGAGCAAGCCTTGGAGATGGATGGATGTGTGGTGTGTGTTCTTGAGTTTTGCATTTTCAACGTTTCTGCCCTGCTTTGTGGACTGCTGACCGATTCCTCGGAGTGGCTTTTCACATGAGGTCCCAGCAGGGAGGAGGCTGGAGGCAGGGATCCGGGAGCTGTGATTCAGATGGGCCACCCACTATATATAGTCTCTGCACATCTGTTGCTCAGGGCTTTTTTGATGTTATTTGATATGCACTGTTTTTGTATTGGCTGACTGGTGGGCGCTGGCTGAGGTTGGCGCGTGCTGGCACCCGCCTACAGGTGGCAGACTGGTAACTTTAGTTTCCCTTCATCACCCCTTTTCGAATACCCTCTTTCCCCATTGTGCCTTTAGCCATGACTTTGGGACTCCCAAAGGGCATAACCAGAGCTGCCTTTAAAAAAATAATATATATATATATTTTGATTTCAGAGAGGAAGGAAGAGGAGAGAGAGAGAGAAACATCCATGAGAGAGAATCATGGATCGGTTGCTCCTGCATGCCTCCCACTGGGGATGGAGCCCACAACCAGGGGGCACATGCTCTGACCAGGAATTGAACCCTGACCTCCTGGTTCATAGGTGGACCGGCGCTCTACCACTGAGCCACAAGGGCCAGGCGCTGTCCCTTTTAAACAGAGCTCTTCAGTGCTAGTGGCTGGATGTTTTGATGTTCAACTTGAGCTTGGCAGGGCCCTGGGGGCCACGTCTTCTAACGGGGTCTGTCAGTCAGCCCCTGTACTGCTGCGTAGTTCAAAGCAGGTGGCCCCCGAGTCTTTCTTTTGCCCTTTTCAAAGGTCAGGGAGAGATCAGATCTGAAACCAGGCAGCGAATGGAACACAGCTTTTCTTTAAGTTTCAGTACTTAAGGCTAAGACATCCCCCAGAAGGAAATGTTTAAAGAGGGATTTGAAAAGAAAATCTCTCTGCACATGAAAAGAGGCCGGCTTCTGAAAGAACCTGACTTCAGATTTCAGAGAAAAGAGAATCCTTGAGTGATTATTTCCTATCGCTTTTAGGAAACACCGGGGCTCACCATTTACTAGTATGTGTGAAATTTCAGCACCACGGAGATTGGCAGTGGCTTAAAGAGCCGAGAGGTCACCCGTGGAGGGTACAGACATTACAGAGCTTGGTGACCATACAAAGAACCACAAACGGGGGGGTCTTAAACAACACATGTTTATCTCTCACTGGCCTGTGGGGCAGGAAGTCCAAGTTAAAGGTGCCAGCCACCAGTTCCTGGCTTGCATATGGCCACATGATGGTGGGGGGAAGAGAGGGAGAGAAAGAGATCTGCTCTCTTCTTTTTCTGATAAGGGCACTAATCCCAACACGGGGCCCCCGCCCTTATGACCTTTTCTAACCCCAACCACCCTATAATACCATCACATTGAGGACTAGGAGGATATGTATATTATTGGAGGTGTGTGTATGTGTGGGGGCGTGGGAGAGACACAATTCAGTCCAGAGCAGCATGGGTGATAGTTAGGAAAGGCAGAGGGAGAATATTGGTGTTCTTACCTGTGATTACCTAGGCTTGCTTTTGTTGAAAATGCTTCCATTACTCTCTCCTTTAAAGCAGTAAGCACAGACCTATTAGATGCTCCATATTGGTTGGTTCCAAAACAGGTCATGGGTTTATGGGCCTGAAGGGTGTGCTGTGATGGAGGACCAGACCAGCAGAGCTCATACCTAGAAGTAGGATTCCTGGAATGGGCACCTTAATGTCATTAAAATTCCAAATTGTTCATCTACTTTCCCTGCTTTCTATTCCTATGGTTTTTCCCGGTCTAAACATTTCATATAAATGTGCACCTTCTGTGTCTAGCTTATTACTTAGCATAATGTTTTCAAAGTTCATCCATGTTGTAGCAAGAAACAATACTTCCTTTTAATGGCAAATGATATCCCATTATATGGATATACCACATTTTGTTTAACCATCTATCAGTTGGTGGACCTTGGATTGCCTCCATTTTTTTTGACTAGTCTGAATAATGCTACTATGAACATTAGTGTACATTTCACTTCCAGAATTTCTGTACTTATATTATCCTTGAGGTGAGATGTTGTTCTACCACTTTCCTTTTATTTCTTTAGTTATAGTTTCCTTTAGTTCTTGAACATTTAAAAAAGCTTATTTACCGTAAGGTAATTGTCTAGTAAGTCCAGCACCTGTACTTTCTCACAGGCAGTTTATTTTTTATTGCCTTTTCTTGTGTGTTGGACCATACTTGTTTCTTTCCGTGCCTCCTATATTTTCCTCGAAGTGTGCACATGTTTCACATTGTCATGCCATAACTCAGTAAATCATATTCTTCCCTCCCATTGGTTTTCTGAGGTCTCTGAAGGAATTTTGTGAAGCCTGTATTTCTTATGTGTGTGGTCACTGAGGTCTCTGCTTCATTAGCCTATGGTTTGCTAATGATTAGCTGGAAGTTTTCTTAAATATCTGGATCCACAAAAGTCTCCCTGTATTTGCTCCGAGTGCATGTTGGGGCACATCTTTAATAATCAGCCAGACAGACCAGCCCGTGTGGTTCAGTGGTTGAGCAGTGACCCATGAACCAGGAGGTCACTGGTTCGATTCCTGGTCAAGGCAGGTGCCCAGGTTACTTTCGAGTTACCATAGTGTATTGTTTGCCCAAACTGTTAGCATTACCCCGGGAAGTAGAGATTAAAATGTTTGCCTGGAAATGTTTTGACCAAAACATCCCTGGGTAGGAGCTTTAGCTGTGGGAGGGTTCCCAGTCAAAGGAACTAAAAATAAGCCTTTTGATCTGGGGTTCCAGGGAGCCACCAGACATTGTCCAAAGAAACAATGGCATTTTCTAGTGAAAGAGCTCCTTTCTGTTCCCTCTGATGTTATGACTGTGGGCTGCTCCCGACAAGGCCACCGCTGGGGAGGGAGGGCTGGAACCGGAGTGGAAGGACCACAAAGCCCAGTGTTCTCACTGAGGTTCAGTCGCTTTTGGTGAACAAACCCTCCCTGTGTTGCCGAACACCTTTTGATACTTTTTAGAGTTCCTAACAAGTTGCTTCTGACCGTTTTTGCAGTTTTGCCATAGCTTTTATCAAGAGGTAGAATTTTGCAGCTCTTTAAACGGGGTCCTCCCCCCACTTCTAGAAAAGTTTATTTCAGCATATTTAAGATTATTGTTAAGTTTCCACACAAAAACACACACACAAAAACAAACCCAAAAAACAAAGGACTTCCACCAATTATCCTTGACTGTTCTTGGCTCCAGGAAGTGTAATTTATATTGTGTTGCTTTGTGGTGTTTCTAAAAACACCCAATTAGCCTATTTTCCTAAACTGGGTTTCCCTCTCATGGATGCTTATGGGGGCCAGACAGGTAACCAAGGAAGATGCTGCCTCTCCTGCTTCTGTCAGTTTCCAGAAGCCAGAGTTTATTGTTAATTTCAGTTCTTATTTTTTTGACATGAAATTCACATAACATAAAATGGATCTTTAAAATATATATATATATTTTTATTGATTTCAGAGAGGAAGGGACAGGGAGAGAGGGATAGAAACATCAATGATGAGAAAGAATCAGGGATCGGCTGCCTCCTGAACACTCCCTACTGGGGATCGATCCCGCAACCCAGACAAGTGCCCTGACTGGGAATCGAACTGTGACCTCCTGGTTCCTAGGTAGATGCTCAACCACTGAGCCACACGGGCCAGGTTG